ATCTCCATAGCAAGCCTGCAAGATCGTCAGAAACACCCTAATTTGGACCCATGAGAGCCGTTATGTCAACAAACACACGTGCGTGTATTTTAAACTCTCACTGTCAATCGCATGATTCTTATAAAAAAATTCATAATAGGCAGAAAAATCCTGTTAGTTAAGTTCTTTGTACTTACAATATGATGATATATATTTTTCATGATGTTTAAACAATGACATAATGCCAAAAACGATTTTAGTACTCGGGATTATTTTTATCAAAGCACGGCAACCATTACGCGCGTTCTGATTGGTTTGTCGTATTTTCGCACATAACAAGCATCGAGACGGGGACGAGTCTTCTTGGAGGTACGGAAAGGGGCGAGTGGTGACGAATGAGACACGATATGGCTGAAATCTGCCGACGTGACTTAAAATCTTAACTCACCCACTCGTTTGAATGTGACGTCACCAAACCATCTCCTGTCAATATTTCCACACAGAATGTCTCTCGCCCACGACGGCTATTTGATTGGGTAAGCGTAGTGATATTCGCTTAAACCGGAAGCAAGGATGCAGGATTATAAGAGAATGGTGAGTTAACCCACTAGATGAACTGCCGTGTAGTGGTTTCAGACGTTGATTGGTTTCCCGATGAAGCTGGAGTTCTGCTGTAACCGACATCAACCCCTTCTGTTAATGTATGGGTGATGCATTGACATTCACTGAAATATAACTCAACGAAGTTTTTTAACCTTTTATTGTTAGCCCATTCAAAACAGACACCCCATCAGTCGCAACGTTTGGGCAAAATGTCAACCCGGTCTCGATGGTTGGGACGTTTGTTTTGAATACCATCACGTATTCTCCAAATTATCAAAACACCTTTAACTGTAGCGTGAATATTCATTTACTTTTACCATATTGTAATACATAAGCATAAACTCGTAAGTAGAGGATCGCATCCCGCCATGGTCCGATAGAAGCTGAGCATGGATGACGGCAGAGAGGTTTTCAGCGTACACTGAGGGTGGAGCCTGTCAATCTGAAAACAAGAAGAACCTGAAGAGACATCGTGTTTTACCAAATTCAAGATGTTGTATTATGGCGCCGAAAGCTTGCCATATGTGCATGGATGAAAAGAAGATGGCATTTCACAAAGTGTTGTAATAATCACACTGCATTGTGAAGAGACAATGGTTGTCGCATTGTTTAAAGGTGGACTGATCTATGTCCGTAGGTCTTCTCCGTAGGTCTCATTAGCTGCCGTGAGACAGCTTCCCAGCTAACCCAAATGAGTGTGACCTGAGTGAGTTTAGTCTTAAGCCCCATTCAGCAATTTATTTCCAACAATATTACGGCAGGCCCACCACAGCCTTAACTGTAGCTTACCTGCTGCAGCCTTGTAACTATTTTCCAGGTGTTGTGATGACGAGAGGCACGTTGGAGGAGTGGCTGCCGCCGCTGCTGCCTCCCATGGAGTATGGGATGGGGACGGGGATGCCGTGCCTGCTGTGATGACTTTTGTGACTGCCGTGGTGACAACAGCAGCTCGCATCAGGAATACGTGGCAAGACCTGCTAAAAGGGTATAGAATAGATCATTGAATAGTGAGTGAGTATGGTTTTACGCCGCATTTAGCAATATTCCAGCAATATCACGGCGGGGAACACCAGGAATGGGCTTCACACATTGTACCCATGTGGGGAATCGAACCCGGGCCTTCGGCGTGACGAGCGGACACTTTAACCATAAGGTTCACCCACCGCCCCCGTGAATAGTACTTTAGTCAACAATATTTCAGCCATATAAAAGTATAGAACACACCGTGTTCATTCGTTGTTCGTTCGTTCGTTTGTTTGTTGTGCACAATTCTCACTAACATTAGATCCGGGTTAGTAGGTCACATGAACCATACGATCCACATCACCAGACAAACCAGTATTGAAAGAACGAGATAAAAAACCAAATCTGCTAGTTATGTCTAGGAATGTGTTTAAAACCTCACCCGAATACACATTTGGGGTTGTCTGTCCAAAGACGTTTAGAGTCTAAATACTTGAAATGAGGTATGATCTGACAGCCTAAACACCACGTAAACACAACCAGCCCGATAAGTTGCAAAGCTTTATATTTAGACAGTATTGAGGGCTTGCCCAACACGTTTGCCCAACTATCATGTGTAAGCCCGGGCTTTTTTCATAATGGTAGCTAAACCCCTGCCAACATCCCCCTAACCTAAACATGTCTGAGTTTAGTTTTACGCCGCAATATGAAGGCGGGGAACACCAAGCATATACGGTACAACCAGAAATTATTGAGAATTTAAGATTGTAATTTTTTTTTAAATTTTCACTCATTACTCACGTATTAAATGTGAATATTAGCAGAACATAACTCCAGATTCAAAGACAGGTGAACAGTTAGTATTTTGTCAAGTCACCATGGGCAGCAATGCAGGCAATTTCGGACTGTACTTTGGGCGCAGATACAAAGGTTTTTCAGTTTGTTTGGTCCCTAATTTCAGTGTATTAGGAAACAGCCACACAGAACTTTCATCTGAGAAAATCACATTGTCCCAGTTAAAATTTCTATGCTGTAAGCACCAGTTCAACCTTCGCTCCTTTTGTTCAGGTTTCATGATCGGTGATGGAACTCCTTGACCTTTCTGCCAACCCATTACATGCAGCTCAGTTCTAATTGTCTCCTTACAGACAGCCACAGTTCCTCTATCAATCATACCCAGCCTTAAGTTTTCTGTTTTTTAGAAACAAGAATACCAAGCCGCCTCCTGTCACCGACAGTCAATTTTCTGGGCCTAGCTGCGCCTCCCTGGTGCTCAATGCCATATTCATTTGCAATATTTTTCAAAACACGATAGACAGTGGACAAAGGGATGCCTGTTCTACTTGAAATCACTTTAGCTGATCTGATGTCCTTGTTATAATACTCTAAAATCAACTTCCTCTTCTCTAAATCATCCATACTGAGGATTACTGAAAATGTCGTCTGCTAGCAAGTAAACAAAGGGGGATAACTCTTCACAAACTAATGAAAAAGGATTAACGGAGTTGTCTCTCTTGAATGAAACCACGCACTTGATAGCTGGTCAAGGTTGTTTATCTTAGAAATCCAATTAAACATATTCCTAAAAGTCTCAATAATTTCTGGTCATACAATATTGTACCCGTGTGCATGGCGAATCGTACCCGGACCTTCGGCGTGACGAGCGAGCACTTTAACCGATATGCCCTCAATCATTCGGGAAACGGACATTGTAATGAAAGATTATCTGATAACTAAGATAGACCCGAAACCAGTTTTAGTTGACCAAACTAACTAACTGTTTCTACTCACCAAACACAAGGAGACCGAGGACGAACATCAGCTTCATTGTGACGGTTGAGGTTATTCGGCGTGGCGAGCGACTTGACGTGAAGGGATTATACTGAATACGTTCAACATGCAGGTATATATACATATTGAGCAATGTTTGGTATTGTCGTAATGCACATCGTCATTTAATCGCTGCACAGTTGCAACCGTTGCATGCAGGGACTGCATGCTGCATCGTATGCAGACTGGTGTGGGGGGCGCTGTGATGGTCGGTATTTAATGTAAAACACCTGCTGTTTTTAAGAAATAAAGATGAATTAGAAAAGTCCAGCTGATAATCGGAGACTAACTTTTAAACAATTCTATTGAACTTTCTTTGATGTATACTTTAAATGTGGGTTTGTCTGTTTTTGAAATGATTTATTCCTTCGTTCGTTTGTGTGTATGCTATGCATGTCGTGTTTTTTTGTTTGTTTTGTTATCTACAATCCTCAAACTTTATGCAGAAGAGCTTTTACTGAGTTGAAGAGAGTTTCCACAACTTTATCAATTGACAACGTGTCTACGATGTGGGGACGAAATGCCAACACACGAGAGAGGAAATATGAAAAGAAACCTAGGTATTTCTTCAGCTTTCGCATGGGATAACTATAATATTCCTTTAACAAATTAAATTTAGAAGAGTGTTTAAAATTTGTTTATAAACAGCAAAATATTACCGCATGTAACTGAAATATGAAAGCATATGTTTACACAATATTATAAGCGTATGTTTTAGCCATATAATCGCTTTTTCGTCTGATAACCTTTTAAAAAAGAAATTGTTCACCATCTCACAGTGTGTTTGTAACGTGATCGGTTTTGTATTCTGATAATTTCACACAAGTCTCAGAGCTGAGAAGTTGTTCTCTGTGTATTGCTCGGCCTTCTGATTTATATTTTCTGATACTTGCTTTATTAAATCTGCTTACAGTTTCTGGTAACTTCGAAAGCGCGTAAGATTAATTTGAAATCACTAAATATCGTAAAACGACTTTTACGTATATCATTCGTGTATATTTCTGTTTTAAGACGAAAGTAAATATGGTTACTGACGAAAAAACCATGATTAGTTTGTTTGTTTGGGTTGGTGTATATAGCCACACTTCTATATTTCAGATATATCACAGCGGAATAATTTTGATACAATATACCACAATGCAGGACTAAGTATTTAGCTGTACAGAACATGTTCTGTCCTGATTTGCTACCCCTCCGAGGGCCGAGTAGAATATGCCAGATACTACTACTACTACTACTGCTACTACTACTACTACTACTACTACTACTACTACTACTACTACTATAGATATTGCAGGTAAATACATAGTTCTTTTCTTTGCATTTCATACATAAATATAACCTTTCATATTATTTGTTCTGCACATTCAGGCGCGCAGCAAGCGAATTTGTTCGTGTTAGCCCGATAGTTTGCAAAGCTTTGCATTCAGATAGTATTTTTAGCAACAATCATGTGTAAGCCCTGGCTTTTTTTTAATGATTTTTAAAAGGTGGGAACAGCGTGTACGTTTGACTTGGCCCGTTTGCCATAATGTGCTGGTAACATATGGTTATTGGTATTTCCTGGTTCCGATGGGTGACATTGTCCGTGTTTTAGAGCTCTTCATTTTTGGAAGTACATAAACCATTCGTTTCCGGGTTATGATTTTGACAACATCAACATGTGTTTAATGTTGTGTTTCTTATATACAGAATCATTGCATACACGGAAAATTGCTTTAACTCGATTCTTGGAGCTCTACTCAACTTGAAAACTGTTTCGTACTTTCCGCGGCCTGCTCACCAATGACTGTAAACCCAACAATTCCTTTGATACTGAAGTTGTCTGCTTCGCAGGTTCTGGAGTGGAAGAGGACTTTCAGCGTAAACCTGTTTCGTTTCTTCTGAGAAATAATGAAGCACAACATATGGTAACACACTTTCTGTATCTTAAACAATGAGTAAATCTTTCCAACTAATTATGCATTTATTCCCTGCCGAACAGACAGCTGACAAACAGCTGAGAAAAACAGACATTTTCTTACGGTCCACTAAGGAAATCAGCAACGAATGAGGGACCATTCATAATTTATGACTAGGTGGGGTGATCATGATTTTCTGGAGATGCATGTACAATGTGAACACACACACACACACACACACACACACACACACACACACACACACACACACACACACACACATAAATTGTGAAGGGTCCCAATGACAGAAATTGAAAACTGACACTCAAGATTCCAATCCATTATGTCATATTATTGATCATTAAATCATTTTGAAATATTGTTACAATCATATGTCACAAACTTGTACAAGGAATACACTCATCACAAGACGACAGACATAACATACTGGTTTTGTTTGTCCTGGCCACTTGCTGGTAATGTTTAAGTTGAACAACAGATAAGAAACTAAAGTAATGACAAACTAAAATTAGCAGTCCTTGTGAAATTGTTATAATCTCAGTTTTCTTTGACGTGAACTGTACATATTAAAATTTACAGATTGATTAGTATCATGACATTAACATAAGTCCCCAACTCAGTGAATGCTACACTCATACAGCAATTACTGTGTCAAAAGTATGTCAGACAACTCAACCATGAATACACAGTGCCGTTTAGAAAGTGGTCAAATGTAAATATGTTATATTTGGGATTACACTTTCTCAGTAAAGTACAGATTAGGTGCCTGACTCTGAGGGTGTGGGTTCATAGCAGTATGGACTCCTGTACTAGAATCTGTACTTAACTGAGATAGAGTAATCCCAAATTAAACATATGTAACTCAACCATAGTGAACATGGAAAATGTCTACATTGTCTTGATGGTTGACAAATGTTTGCTTAATTTTCAATGTAATCAATGTAGGGGAGGAACAAAGTCAATCATCTAGGATGACTTTGAAATCATTTCAGCATGGTGTCTGACTTCTTCTACCCCAACATGGGAGGAGTGGAGAGTCACATATACCAGCTGTCTCACTGCCTTCTGGAACGTGGACACAAAGTTATTGTCATCACCCATCTCTATGGCAACAGACGAGGTGTCCGGTATCTTGCAAGTGGTTTAAAGGTAAGCTGGAGGATAAGATATTCAATTCATGGAGCATCAATGATTATTTCAACACCATCTTTCAATGATCGGTTGATATAAAAGGTCACTGGTATGTGTCCTTACTTTAACATTTTTAGTTCATAATCTTGCAGTAAAACTAACAGTATAACTAAAAACAGGGGCCTGAGAAATCAGTTATCATGGTTATGCTATGCTGTGCTGTCATGGTTATGTTATGTCTGTGACTTTATGTTAGTTATATATTGCTCGGTATTTGCATTTTCTTTTAAAAATGTCATCTTTGACTTATTAGTTGACCACTTTGTCCAATTACATGTAAAATGAATGTGAAGCAAGTTTAACAAGGTTGAGTTGTCACCTCTAATCATGTTGATTTGCTGCTGACTGAGAATGTTGCTCAGACTTGACTTTTCTCACTTCAATTGGCATGTCTAATGTGCAGTATTTGGGCTTGTCAGGGATCAAGTATCAGTTTACTGTATACAATATTTCACTGTAGAGCATTTATTTTACACATATATTTTATAAGATCTAAAGTTGTTATCACACAATTATAACAATGGTACAATCAAGTTTTGCATTTATTTATATCCTGGTTAGTCCTTTTTCTCTTTGACATAAATACTCATGTTTATGGATGTCATATCTATTCTTGCTCTTATTACCGTATGTGTAAGCTCGTGAGATATGGATCAAATAACATGTTATAATCACATGTTTTAAGATTAGTAGGGATGATTCTGATGCCATTTTCACATTGCAATTATATTGCAGTAGTAGCTCACACTATTACAACAATGTTGTGTTGGTAGTAGTGAGTGAGTTTAGTTTTACGCCACACTCAGCAATATTCAAGCTATATGGCGGCGGTCTGTAAATATTCAAGTCTGGACCAGACAATCCAGTGATCAACAGCATGAGCATCGATCTGAGCAATTAGGAACCGATGAAATGTGTCAACCAAGTCAGCAAGCCTAACCACCAGATCCTGTTAGTGTGTTGGTAGTAAAATCAACTTTTAATCTTAGTAACTATGTTAATGAGTGTCATGGAAATGAATAAATTATTGCTGACAATTTCAAAGGCAACTATTTTCACCCTTGTAACTACTCAAACAGAAAGGCATTAAGGCAAATCTGAAGTTGTCATAATGCTTGCTAACCAACGCAGAGGTTGGGTTATGTGGCAAACAATTACAGCACATTAATAGTCTGATATAGCAGTACACTCCTGAAGATTAGAATCTGTGAATTGGATTCATGCACATTCCTGACTGTGATTCTTCATTGTAATTCCAGGTGTACTACTTGCCGTTCCCCCCTTTCTACAACCAGTGCATACTGCCAACAATCTACACCACCTTCCCCCTGCTGAGGAATATATTTATAAGAGAAAAGATTTCAATAGTTCATGGACATTCTGTAAGTATCCAGGCGCGTAGCAAGCCAATTTTTCCGTGTAAACCCAATAGGTTGCAAAGCTTTATATTTGATAGTATTGAGGACTTGTCCAGCTTTCATTTCAAAATCATGTGTAAGTCCGGGCTATTTTACATAATGCTAGCCACGCCCCTGATGTCACTATACAATGAAATCTGTCAGGTTTGAATGCCAAGGCGGCATTGTCAAGTGATTGTTACTCTAGCTCTTGTTTATTTCTGGTGTTTTTTTGTTTGTTTTGTATCTGCTCATCTTAGGGTATAAGAAAATTCTGAAAATTAATGAAAATTGCGGTTCAGTTTCATTTCCATAATATTTGTGAGTATTTTGATGGACCACACTGATTTGAATGTTGAATGCTTCATTTTGACTATGCCAAGCTTGTTATCTCATTCCCTGTATACATCAATCGCACTTTTGAGATATTGAAATATCATATTACAAATTTTCAGAGTTATCTCCCTTTGAACTGTTTTGAGAATATTTCAGTTATGTCCCATGTTATGTAAAATATTTTAACAGTTAACTGTCAATATTACTCAATACAAAATTTCGATGTGAAACATTTTACAGTTCATTTCTTTTTCAAATATTTATGCGGTTTTGACTTCTGTTTATATTTGTTGTAAGGCAGATTTTCTGAACATTTCAGTTTACTAGACATTGTCGGGCTTGTTGTCTGACTTATGCTCTTAAGTGTATTGTTGGGTGTGTCAAGCATACAATGCAACTTAATTGGACCTGTGAAAATTTAACTCTTTTGTGTAAAACTAGTGAAATACATAGAGGGACATTCGTGACCCACTCATATTATTCCGGGACAAGCCGAATAGTGACTCGTGCCTCTCTGGAAGGATTTCATTTTGGCGTCTGAACATCAGAACTACTTTAAACAAGAACGATAACTCTATCTGTTTCATTCCAATGTTTCTTTATATCACCAAAGCACTCGTACATTGTATTGCTGGTTTTGATTTTACTTATTCATTTTAAAGAATTAAACCTCTTTGATACAACTAAAAGAAGGAGAAAAACATATTTGTTACAGACATATTCTAATGTATTTATTACCAGCTGTTCACCTTATATTTACAATTTAATCATCACAAATGGCAATTGTTTTATTGAATATGCGAAGAAATATATTTAAAAAATCAGCTTCATTAAATCCCAAAGCAGATACTCAAAAATGACTATAAAATATTTCTCAAACTGAGACCGCTTCCGTGGTGTAGTGGTCATACCAAAAGATGTTAAAATATTGTACTTGTTGGTCCCTGCCTGGCGCTCGGCATTAATGGGTACTGTTACCTGAGGGTGTCCGCGTGTTATACCCTTCTCCCTAGGCAATCTGTCTATCCACTCTTGTTCCGGGGATGATGTAACTAAGATGGATAGTCAAAGATAAGTCTGGTATGTTGTTCAAGTCCATGTATTTTGGAAAGAATTCTCACACAAAGGTCCTCAGATATTGCCTAGTTTTCCTGGTCTACATACAACACAGATTCACAAACCTCATGGAAGAACTTGTTGGATTCTTGTACAACTCCCAATGTTACAAGTTCATCTGAGCCATTCTCTCAATATACAAAGAGAACCTCTCAAATCAATGGTGGGGCCCAGAATTGTGCACTCTTTCCCAGTCAACTAACAAAACAGTCTTCATAACAATTTTGGCTCCTCCCCCTGAAATAATGTCCTACCCCATATAAAAATTACTCATATTCCAGCTGCACCACTGATTACTATTATTTCCTCTCTTCCAAGACTTAATCGGTACCATCAAATTCTTCCATTATAAATTACTTCGTTAGTGAGCTTAAATCATTCGTGAAGCATTCAACCGAATAAAACTTCAGACTGGCAGGCGCCAGAAGATGCTTAATCGAATCATTACGTGTGTCCCTTTTCTGATTCTTAGTATCTTAATTACCAGTAATTTCCTAAATGGTATATGAGTCACCCGATCCACATGTTCCACTCATCTCCCTTATTAGATTTGTTGTATGCAAGGGAAATGAATCGATATGAATTTGGTTACTCTGGTCAATGCACTTTCCAAGCACAATGACACTTCTTAACTGAACTTCAAATTTTCCTTAAATATTTACCAAATGTATTTTAAGTTTTCAATTCTAAATATCCTGGTTATAGTACAACAAGGACTGGTCTCCTCGGTCTGTAATGTGTCTGAGTGGGGTATTCATGCTTCACTGCGGCATGGTATCTCAGTGGGCTAGCACTATAAAACCAGCTCAAGTCTGGGCTAGTACAAGCAGCTGCACATACACATACACACGCATGCACGTCGTCATATGAGCGAAATATTCTCAGGCACGACATTAAACCCAATTTCACTTCACCTCACGTCAAACTGAACATTCGTGTAACCTTGCTGTCATACCCCTGGTGGAATTTTAAATGAATTCGATGAAAAAAAATGAATGACCGAACAATTTCAGACTCAAATATTCCCAGAGATGTGAAATATATGCCCAGTGTTAAAGATTAAAGTTGATTAGTTACATATAGATATAATATTATTGTTTTGAAACTCGCACCATTCGTGACCAACTTGTGTTATTCCGGGACAAGCCGAATAGCGACTCGTGCCCCTCTGGAAGGATTCCATATTGGCACATGAACATGAGAACTACAGTCAAATCCCGATGAGTGGAATGCCGGTGTCTCGAATATTATGCATAACTCGAAGTACCTGTCGGTCCCGACCATTCCCTGTTATAGTTGTCATCATATGAATACCGGTTACACGAATTCGTATCATAAATACACACGATGACTCGAGAAGGAAATTTGGTCCCATGAGATTCAAACAACAGCAATCTTGTATACATAAGCCGAAGTCAGTCAATGAGAAGTTGATTGGTGTAGCAAACTGATCCAATTAACAAACCAGCTCAGCTTACACCTTTCCGCCATTGACGGGTGAGTTCAAAAGGCAGATTAGTGATTTTACGGAAATCACTGACTGTGCTAATCAGACTGGAACTGATAAGGTGCCCCTATTAGTGATAGGGAAATCATTAGATAAACAAATGCTTAGGCGGAGGAATGAGGACTGGATCATCATTTTTTCTACCCTCATAGACATACCTATGTCACGAATACATCGATAAGTCGAATTTATTACTTGGTCCCCAGCGATTCGACTCATCAGGATTTGACTGTACTTTAAACAGGAACGATAACTCTATTCTTGTTTGATTCCAATGGTACTTAATATCACTGAAGTAATCATACATTGTATTGCCGTTTATGTTTTTAAATAATTAAACCTTTTTGATTCAACTAAAAGAAGGTGAAAAACTTATTTGTTACTGACATTCTGACGTAAATATTACCAGATGTTCACCTTATGTTTCACATATGAGATTTGTTTTATTAAATATGTAAATAAAATTTATAAAAGCTACATTAAATCCCAAAGCAGAAACTCAAAAATTACTTTAAAATATTTCTCAGACTGAACATTCGTGATACTTGCCATCATACCCCAAGTGGAATTTTAGATGAATTCGCTGAAAAATATATGAATGACCCCTCAAAAAAGTCAGACTATAATATTTCCAGAGATGTGAAATATATTCCCAATGTTAAAGATTAAAGTTGATTAACTACATGCAGATATCGTCAAGTATATTGTTTTGAAACTCATAGCGATTTATAATTACATTTCCTAAAATTGTTGGAAGCACACGTACAATTTCCATAGCAAGCCCGCAAGATCGTCAGAAATACCCTCAGTTGGACCCATGAGAGCCGTTATGTCAAGAAACGCACGTGCATGTATTTTAATCTCTCACTGTGATTCTTATAAAAAAATTCATAATAGGCAGAAAAATCCTGTTAGTTAAGTTCTTTATACTTTCAATATGACGATTTATATTTTTCATGATATTTTAGACAATAACATAATGCCATAAACAATTTAAGAAGTCAGGATTATTTATATCAAAGCACGGCAACCATTACGTGCGTTCTGATTGGTTTGTCGTTCTTATCAAAACTATTATCTGTTAGCATTTATAACAAGCATCGAGAGGGGGACGAGTCTTCTTGGAGGTTACGGAAAGGGGCGAGTGGTGACGAATGATAGAGGGACTGAGATTTAAAATCATGGTTCAGCCACAGGTCTGTGAATTATCTCCCCTTTGACCATTATTTGTTAGGGATTGTAGTGATTGACTCATCATATTCTTTAAGCTTCTTTCAAAGGAAATTGGTTGTTTCCCAAACTAAAACTAATCTGAAATTAGAGACTAAAACTAGTCTGAAATTAGACTTCCTTTTCTTGTATTTTTATGTAAAAGAAGATTGTTGGACACATGGAATTAGAAAAAAAGAAAAATTAAAGTTGTTGTCTAGTTTGACATATTTGACATTTCAGAAATAAATATCAATGATATAAGGTTAATACTTTTCAAAACTCACACAACTCATTTTGTACCATGAATAGAAACTAAATGAATAAGATTACAAATAAATAAATAAACAAATAAATAAATATATAAGATTAGTTTCACTTTTTGAGTCAGAAGAAACACAGCCAACATAAAACAATATCATGACAGAATAATGAACACAAAATGTCGATGCCTGTGTCTCTAAGATATCTTATGTATTGCTGTTGCAGGCATTCTCCACCTTGGCTCATGAAGCCATGCTCCATGCACGTACACTGGGGCTCAAGACTGTGTTCACTGACCACTCGCTGTTTGGATTCGCAGATGCCAGCTCAATTCTCACAAACAAAGTGCTCAAGTTTTCTCTAGCTGATTGCAACCATGTGATATGTGTCTCTAATACCAGGTAGGTATAGGAGTTGCTGGTATGTGACAGCACTCAGTAAATAATGTAAACTGTTTATCATCTTACAACATACAGGATGTTTGGGTGCAGACTTGCAGCTTCATTCAGTTTGTGTATGAACTGTTTACGTGATCTGGGTTCAAGTTATTAAAAGAGACTGAAATTACTGCAACTTGTTTTTATTTCATATAAACTATACATTCATTTGGGAAATGATTTCAAATGAGACAATTCAAGGAGAAAAATACTATACAGTAATTGGTTGCAATATACTATCACTATCACAATAGTATGTTGCAGTAGACTATCGCTATTGAAGTAGCTGTTTCCCCCTTAATAGTCACCATCACAATTTACCCCTAATTATTATTATCAGTGTACCCTGACTGTGTATCATCGTAGCCTAATGATATGAATTGGTGCACAAACAAATCACCAGTGGTTGCTTCACCTAAACTAGTTATTATCTCCCTGACATTGACTCGGTATAAACTGCCTTGCTTAGACAGATTTCACTGACAATACGCCATTTTGGAAGAAATATGCTTGTCTGAATCAGTTCTCCCTGTGAAGCACATGCTCTGACCTTGTGGTGATGTACTTTCTGATCTTGTGGTGATATACATTTTCTGTATTTTGTGTGCCCTTGTTTCAGTAAAGAGAACACAGTGTTGAGAGCTTGGATCAACCCAGAACTTGTGTTGATGTACATTGTCATACCCCTAGTAAAGAGAACACAGTGTTGATGCTATCAACCCAGAACTTGTTTCATACCTGTTTCTGCCTGATCCAGCCAAGAGGACTCCGGATAAAAGTAAGTACTCTGTTACCATAGTTACCAGTGGTTGCACATTTCATAGACATGTACCTGACCTTGGATTTTATGGTTATAGAGATCAAGGAAACGCAAATTCTTGTTTGACAATAATTTGGTGAAAAGGGCATAGTAACTTGATCCACTCACTGCCTTGAGTGGCCTGTTTTTACAAGCATGGGTTGCATTTCCGGTTGATATGGGAGGAGACCGCACAGTAATGCAGGTCTAACACGTTTACATTTTTGTTGATATGGTGCAGACAATATAATCAGGACAAGGGATGAAAGTCTTCACAGCCAATTAGGTGGCTTACACAACTGGTCAATATGTGCCCCCTTTCAAAGTCTAGTGTGATTTCAGTATTTGTACATGTTTCCATAATATAACATATATCATACACAATTATTTTGTCCCCACAAAATCAGCTTTGTGTCAAATGAAATAAATACATTATTGAACAGCTAGACTGTTTAGATTTCTATTGTTATTTGAGCCTGTCTGAAATCAGCACACCATACCAGTGTGTACTGGTAAACAAGGATAAGTTGGACCGGCGCAGAGAACACGTTTACGAGAAGTAGGCGGTGCACAGCAATGAGCAAACCCATTTGGTTTGTGAAAGGTAGAGCAGACGCCGTAGGCTAGTGCACATGCATTGCATGACGATGAAATTGATTCGGCGCGTAGCTGCACACGCCTTGCTCATAAGACTGCAAGTTGCACTACACTTGATCGCGGACAACCTGGGGCCCCTTCGCCAGTGGGCAGCACTCATACATGCTAATATGGGTCAATTGTCAGGTGGGTGCTCAACTTATCCTTGTTTGCCAGTAGGTTGTTATGTACAGTGTTTTGTGTTGCAGTCACGGTGGTGGTGGTCAGTCGGCTGGTGTACAGGAAAGGCATGGACTTCCTCGTGGACATCATCCCCCAGATCACTGCCAGGCATCCCAATGTGCAGTTTATCATTGGTCAGAGTTGATTGTTATAGTTTTAACCTTTTGTATTAGTTACACTGAACAGTCAGTCCACATTTATCCATATAAGATTAGGCAGTTGCATGTCCATCCATCTGCCTGTCTGCCTGTCGGTCCATCTGTCTGCCTGTCCGTCCATCTGTCTGTCTGCCTGTCGGTCCATCTGTCTGCCTGTCCGTCCATCTGTCTGCCTGTCCGTCTTGTCTGTCCGGCTGTCCATCTGTCTGCCTGTCCGTCCATCTATCTGTCTGTCCTTCCATCTGCCTCCATCCATCTGCCTGTCTGTCCGTCTGTTTGTCTGTCCATCTGTCTGTGAACTGAGGGAACTGCTTCATATTGTCATGTATGTGTGTGACTGTGGTTATTTACCTAAGGGAACCTTTAATCATGTCATGTGTTTAATGTTTCAAGCCTGCTATCTTTTATCTCTTTTCACTCTCATCATACTTGAATGTTTCAAGGGGAACTGCATTCTGATCCTATTGTCAGTGTCTAAGTTTGAACTGCATTCGGGTCATGTGTTAAATGTTTCAGGGGAATTACAGTCTGATCATATATGTTAAATGTTTCATGGGGAACCACATTCTGATCACCAGTTAAAAATGTTTCATGGCGATCTGCATTCTGATCATGTGACAAATATTTTAGGGGAAATTGTGTTCTGATCATATGTTAAATATTTCAATAGTAATGCATTCTGATTGTTTGTTGAATATTTCAGGGGGAGACGGACCAAAGCGTGTTGTCCTGGAAGAAGTGAGAGAGCAGTATGAGCTTCACGACCGCGTCTTTCTTCTCGGATCACTCAAACACGACCAAGTTCGGGATGTAAGCTGCAACTGTTTTCTCATTTAAAACAATTTTGATGGTGTAGATGCAGTAATTTCAGCTAACTTGTCTAGTTTTCCTTCAGTCATGATAAATTATTAAAGATACTTAAATATATCATAAACCTTGATATGTATCCAGGACAAGGTTTCCAGTCTTAAATTCAGTGACATATTAACGATCAGAGATAACAAATGATGTTTTGTTTAGGTTCTTGTTCAGGGGGATATATTGCTGAATACTTCCCTGACCGAAGCTTTCTGTATTGCTATAGTGGAGGCAGCATGTTGTGGGTGAGTCTCTAATTGTATGTGTCTATAGCTTCTGTCCGCCAGTCTAATAACTTTTCATTTCTCTGATTTGACTGGAAGGATAAGCCTGAGACTTGAATTTGTTTTTTCCTGTTTAATTCATAATACTTTTGTTCAAAATGTATAATTTGAAAATGTTTTACATGTTTAAAGAATTTCTCAAAAGAAAGATGTGCAAAAGGAAATGCTGAAGTGAATATTCCACCTTGTTGAATAGTGTCTACAAACTCTCATACACTGGCTTTTTCAGTATTGAGAAATTCAGTATTCCATTTATTGCTGTGTTGTAGGCTCCAAGTTGTAAGTACAAGAGTCGGGGGTGTTGGGGAGGTGTTGCCCCCTGATCTCATCTACCTGGCTGAACCCAATGTCAAAGGTCAGTGCTGAATTCTTTGAAACTGATAGTAGAATCAGCCCCTCACTTGTATCAGCAGTTAAATCAACTATGGCCGTACTGCAGCTTTGGACGAGAGTGTGGGACTGACTGTCACAAAATGATTGTATACTTTTCTAACCCTTATACTTAGATTTAGAGTAACTATATTCAGTTTCTCTTTATGAAAATGGGGCGGTGTGGCTTGCTAGTGGTTAAAGCATTTGCCTGTCATGACGAAGACCTGGGTTTGATTCCCCGCATGGGTACAATGTGTGAAGCCCATTTCTTGTGTCCCCTGCTGTGATATTGCTGGAATATTGCAAAAGCGGCATAAAACAGAACTAACTTTGTGAAAATACCTTCATATTGTCAACCATTGGTTTGCCTGGACCAGACTTTGTTTGGGGCTGCTGTGATAAAACAGGAATATTACTAACTGTTCCATCAAACAACGATCAATGTCTATCACTAAAGATAATTATGCAAATGATCCAATCTCTCTGTTTTCGAGGTTTAAAAATATACCCTGAAACAGTCTGTCTGAGATACTTTACCTACTTCTTAACTTGGCTTTTCAGGTCTGGTCGAGGAACTTGAAAAAGCAATCAGGGACAAACAACTTGGCAGAGTTGTGTCCCCTTATGAAGCACACAAGAGGATAAAGGACCTTTACACATGGCGCAATGTTGCAAAGAGAACAGAGGTTGTTTACAATGCAGTTAGCCAGAAACCAACACGAGACCTTCCTGATCGTCTTTTGAGGTTAACAACCCGTGCCTTTTCTAGTTATATCTCTTCTGGTCATATAGACACTATTAGTCAAAATATCAATATTTCATGTCTTGAATAAATGATTAAGGAGATTGGATACAAAATATCAAGAAATTGCTAAATTTGGTGTCATTTTGTAGAAAAATGTGTCGCGAATTTAATTATGTTATAAAAATAGCAAGTCACCACAGCATTTGTTTGACAAGTGGCACCCCTTTGTGGCACCGTCTATGTCAATAAAGGTTCTCGTTTACTTTTCTTATCCAATATAAGTTTTTTTTATAAATATATTTCAGTATTGATATGAAATAAAGTAGGAAAATAATTTTTCAAGGCAGTATGTAGGATTTGACTCATGAATTAACTTCTAAAAAAACAGGAATTTAAAAAATATTGATTCATCAATGAACAAAAGATTTTTATAAAAACAAGATTTTTTATCAAATGAATTTTTATATAGTAAATTCACACTAGATTAGTATTCAAAAACAAACAAAAATATGTTACCAGAGGGTATTACATTATCTCTAATTAAAACGGCATACCCAAATTAAATTTTATAAGGGGAGATAACTCTTACCCAGGTTTACCTCAGTTAAAATGCTTGTGTGGCCTTTCGTTGTTAGTGTTCAATAACCAAAATGATTAGAAGATAGATAAAGGGATACATAAAACTAGCAGATACGCTTACTCCTACTGTCACATCCCGCCGCATACAGTGTGCGCACAAACAAAGGTATCCAACCTCTTTAAAATTTTCGGGACGGTGGGGTAGCCTAGTGGTTAAAGCGTTGGCTCGTCACGCCGAAGACCCGGGTTCGATTCCCCACATGGGCACAATGTGTTAAGCCCATTTCTGGTGTCCCCCGCCGTGATATTGCTGGAATATTGCGAAAAGCGGCGTAAAACTAAACTCAGTCAGTCTTTAACATTTTCAATCAATAAAATAGCTCTTTCAGCTGACCAATTAGTTGTGCATATTTGCATTTTAGCAAGTCCCAGACTTCAAATATTGTTGGTTGGGTAGCCTTGTTTTTGCTTATGAAGGAATGGCATTGATTCCCGAAGTGTGTACATTTGTGTGTCCGCAGGATGAGTTTGCTGTAATAAATAACCCAACTTCTAGTGTGATAATGTTGATTTAGGGCTGTTTCACTCCAGGTACTACCAGTGTGGCCCACTGTCAGGGAAGCTGTTTGTCATTGCTGCTGTCCTGAATGTAGCAGTCTTGTGGATTCTGCAGTGGTTGTGGCCTGATAATGTAAGTGTTACCCATGAATTCTGTCTGGAAAAACTCTTAAAGCATGTTCATTTGTGAAAACTTGGCTTTTGACTAGACTATTAATGGTGGGTTACTGCTATGTGCATAATAAAATATACTCCAGACTCTTGTGAAAAGTATGTTGTGACAAAGCCAGGTTAAATTTGTTGAAAAGTTGCTTGAGACCTGATTGACAAAGCTATTGATTTAGGAAGTTATTGAGTCATTTTCAAGTACAGTGTACTCTGTCAATACCGGCATCAGTCGGGACCAAGTAAAAATGCCGGTTTTGACAGAGTGCCGGTTTAGCTAGGTTCGCTTATGACGCCTGCGCACTCGGAAGTTCGCTGTCGTACTGTCACTTTAGCATTAACAAAATGTTTGAATAAGAAACAAGGCAGTGACTGAATGCACATTCATGTTGTTTAAATCAAATAAAAATGTCTGAAATCTCTTATTGAATTTCAACTGATCATATATTATCGGCAGAATTAAAATTATAAACTATTTTTCACAATGTTATTGCAAACAACGATTCTTGTTTATGCTTCGGCAGCGGGTCTACAATAGCATTGTCAAAGAGCAAAGTAACGATGTTTCAAACATCGAGGAAATCATTAAATAAATTGAAATCAACAATAACATTCATAAAAGTTGTCAAACGTACATATAAAATTACTATTTCCATACTTTTGTGCGATCATGCAATGTAAGTCAAGTCACTGACAAGTTACATCTCGGCTTTCACACGATGCTTAATGTGAAAATATATGCATGAAGCATTTTTGTCATAGGCCATAACCTAGCACGCTATGTCCAATAAGTTCCATAATTTACGTATAGGTAGCGATGTCTTTCTTAATATGTTCAGAATAGCATTATTTTACCCCAAAACTTTCGTCTTAATCTAAAAGTTTTGGTTTACGAGAACGGTATCCATTTCCATAATATGATTGGCTGCTTAGGTCACGTGTCTGATTTTGACCAATCACGACCCTTATAAGCAGAGTGTAGTGAAAAAGCGTCGTTAGAAACCAATCTTTATCCAATAAAATCGCTTCTTACAAATGTGAAAATACTTTCGGCAAGAGTACAGTGATATTGTTGATGTTCAGAGCGCTCGAACGATACACGCCATCAAACGATTAAGCCTCTATGTAAGTGACACGCGTGCCACTCACTAATTAACAAGAAACTGATTGACACTTCCCGCTTCTGAATAATCTCGAGTCAATACCCGCTAATCAACAAAATGTAAACACTTGCTTGTTTATACAGTCAAGCTGCCCACTACATGTATTAATTACTCTGGGTAAGTGTTACGTACCACTCACTGATTAACAAGATACTGATTAACAGTTTCCGTTTCTGAATAATCTCGGGAGTCACAGCGAATTGTGTTGTTACATCATTTGGACCTAATTGCATCAAAGGGTTACGCCGTCTTTCATGTGCCGGTTTTTACAGATTCGTTTTCATAACAACTTGTTCGTTGGGACTGAAAAACAATGCCGATATCCTGAATAGACAGATGCCGATGTTTACAGAAGTTTCTAAATGATAATAACGTGCATTTCTGCCGGGACTGAAACTTTGTGCCGATGTAGACAGAGTGCCGGTGTTAAGAGAGGCCGGTATTGACAGAGTCCACTGTATATATAAATGCTACATTCTCATGCCTCCAGTGTTCGTTGAATCCAATTTTAAGCCAAGAGAAGCAAGAATAACAATTTCTGAATGAAAATGACATTTGCCCATCCACAAGTGATAGTTATGTTATCGTCACCAACTTTTCTAGCTGTAGATAGACACCTGTAAGTAATGTAGTCTGGTCCAGTGATTGATGTTACAAGCAGGAGTCCATGCCATCAGGCAACAATGGCACTCAAGTCATCAGTTAACACCGTAATCCATGCATCTCTACTTCAGCATAGCATTTCTTTTTGTTCTATTAACTTGATGGTTTAGTTGTGGATGCTGTTGTTATCCATGACAGATGCTGCTTTTCAATGAAGAAGTATTATCAAGTTTCATATGAGTTAGGGACCATTCATAATTAATGGCTAGGAGGCATAATGATGATTTTAAGGGGGTGTGGGGTTGATGTACATATTATTTTTTTGGAGGGGTAGGGGTTGGGGTGTCATTCACATTGCACATGCTTCTCCATGAAAATCCATTATATGGAATTCATGCACAGAATGTTGTTTATACTTTATGTAACCAGTTTGCTTCCATCAAGTTCAGGTAACCATGATAAAGCTGGAACAATGCGTACTGTGATGCTGAGCAACATCCTCTCATTCTTCCATTCACTTTTAGTTGTTTTTTAAGAGTATTTTGGGCTTGACAAGGTACTTGTAAGATGAAGCAAGTTGTGCACATGGCAATGAGAGGGATAAACTCTGTAATGCACTAAACATATCAGATCCAGGAGCAGATAGACTGGCCTAATAGATTGGAATAGATTTTTTCTGGGACAATTTCATGTCATTTTGTATACTTTTTCCAAATTTTATTCTGGTCAAACCCACCTAAAGTAATAGAATCTTACAATGTAAAGTCTATACTGTATAGTTATTTCCTTTGAAACATATATACCAGCTTTGACTGAAAGGATGGCATGCTTTGGGGATTGTGTGATTTTGGAGGAACTGTAAGAGGCCATATATTGGAGCTTCTTCATAACACAGGGAGGGCAACAGGAAAATCTATTTCCAGCTGAAAACTTAATATTGTGTCATCAAATGGTGGGTTCAGGGGAATTTTGACAATTCATGGAATTGATCAATTTGAAATAAAATCAGCAGAAATCTACGGATTAGCAGAAAATTGCCATAACTGACAACAAGTCTCCATATCAGCAGTGAAGCATTTCAGTCTCTTAAATTGATAGGACTAAGTACAAAATAACCTTTTGATGTTTTGAATAAGGTATTTACATTGACGATTATAATCTTTCCAAGTCTGCAAGGTTGCATCTACACATAACGGTGGCGTTTTAAGAATCATGTTAATCTACAAAAATAGCTAGGTTGTCATGTTATTAAAAGTATATAATATTTCTAATTTTCAGACAATAGAAACTGCTCCTGTATTCTCCACACCTGTTCCATGGAAGAAGACAAGAAGATGACATTGCAACCCATCACTGTAATATTTAAGTGTACATATAACTTATTACATCAGGATCTTTGACAAACTGGGTTGAGCAACATATGGTAGTGAAATAATCAAACTGATTTCAGTCCTACACCCTGGCACACCTGCCAACATCAACTCCAGATGTGTATGCCATTTGGTATATAAGCATTTATTGCAAATACCCAGTACTATTATATATTTTTATGGATTTGTTTCATAAAATAAATTCATATTTTCCTATATATATATATTTGGACTATCTTGTGTTGCTTTTTTAAAGAAAAGTGTGAATAATGTACTATAGTATAGGACATATTATGTTCTAGGAGAGATACTATCATAATCAGGAAAATGTGATTTTAGAATCATAACGAAACTTTTTACCGAATGACTAAAAGGCTATAAATATGAGGAAGAAACGACAGTTTATGTTAAATGGTACATTTGGTGTCTTTTTGTTCATCTCATCAACACCCATGTAGATCCAGGTTAGAATTGATCTTCAGTAACCCATGCTTGTCGACTAATGGGATCAGGTGGTCAGGCTTGCTGACTTTGTTGACACATGTCATCGTATCCCAGTTGTGTAGATCGATGCTCATGCTGTTGATCACTGGATTGTCTGGTCCAGACTAGATTATTTACAGATCGCCGCTATATAGCTGGAATATTACAGAGTGAAGTGAAAAAGTAAACTCACTCATTCACTCATCTCATCAAGCAACAATGAAAATATTCATCATTTGATTCAGAGAGTGTGTACTTCATCAATATACTGTACATTAAAGTATCACACTGAAGACTACAAGCCTGTTTCAGAAAGGATGTTCAACATTCCTCAAGCAAATACAAATGAAACAAGGACAAATTTTAAATATTTAATTTTAGCTTGACATCTTAACAGTGAGCAGTTCTTGGTTACAACCCCACCATAGATTTCCATAACAAAAATAACTCATGCAATAAACAGGAACAGTTTCTTCACAATAAATACTTGATAAATAAAGGCACTCATGAAAATAGGGAAAATATTCATTCTGAGAGAGATTACATCCCTCATGGTCAATAGTTCATAGATATTATAAAAGTTATAAGTAATCTGTCTCAAATTGAATACTTGGCCCCAAAACTCTGCAGTTTATGTATGTTCACGTAAAAAATATTTGAAAAGACATCCTTCGTGGGCCAGTATTTTTAAAATAAACAACATGTTCATCATAGGAAGTAACTATATCACGGCTGAGAGTCTGATCGAAATAATTGCAGAAATGACAAAATGAGATTCTTGCTTTCAAAATTTGTCATCCCAGTATTTTCATTACCTAAAATGTTATTCAACTGAACATGCAAAAATCTTTTGTCTACAAGTGAGAAGTAGCATTTTGTGATTACGTTCTGTAGATCGTACCTCATCAGACTGTCAGACTAGATCTTAAGCTATGTTTACAACAATGTAGTTTCAAACTTTTGGACAAGAACCGTAGCATATCGCCCACAGCTACTTTATCCAAGCATCAACTTTCAAAGATTTACTTCACAGAAACAAAGAGCTTGTGGCTAAAGGTTCATTCTGTAATGATGAAGATATTAATGAAAATGCCTCTTCTTCAATGTGAAAAACTAAATCTTCTGAAATATCACCAAGTTCATGATGGTTAGAATGTAACATTAGGTGCAAATACAAGAGAATCAGAATCTTTGTCTGATTTACAAACATAACTTCTGTGCAAGTTGAATTGATATTTTGACATCTTTCACTTTTGTAACATTTGAGATCTCCTGTTGCATCAGGTGAAAGACAGAATGATGTAACTAGAAACCTACATAATACAAATTCCAGTGCAAAGTACCAAACATTTGTTGAAAAAATAACATCCAAGAATTAATATATGTATGCTTGTCACCCACACAATTTCAACTTTCTTGAGACAGTACGAGATTATGAGTTGCTAAGAAATGTAATGGTGCAATTGTTCGTTGAAGTAACTTCTTGCGTTTCCAGAAAGTCAGAAGAAAAAAGAAGTGACATACACATTTCATGAGAACCACTTCAACAGACCACAATGTCAACAACCTTCAACAAGAAATTCAACAATATCCTTTACACCATCACAGTCATTGCTTAGACACAGAATTCACAAGGAATTCACGAAACCATTGACACATTGGTCAACATAACAATATATAAGGGAACAAATCTTCATGGAAATCATGACGCCATCGGGATCACACACAGAGAACTCTGGCACATGAGATAGAATGTCTTCAGCAACATCCGACTCTTTATCAGTTTATTTGAACTCGTGTTTCGACAGTGAAGCAGCCATTGACTGGTCAGGGAGAGGCTTAGTGTATCCTTCCTTGCCCATGAGCCAGTAGGTAGTCATCACTCCCTTGCCCTGTAAGAGGGAATAATCATCATAAAAATAATAATAATAACTGTGCCAGGACCACCCGACCTCTGCTGCATATCATTATTCAATCTATAAAACATAATAATAATAACAATAATGATGATGATGGGGGTGTTGATAACTCTATTACTTAGGCGCCGTCATCTATCCACTACAAATTAGTTATAAGTGCCCAAATAAAATAATACAGTCGAGCACCGTTGTCTCGATATTCATGGGCCCAAGAAAAAATAGTATGTTTTGATTCAAAACTATCATCCACAATCAGTAGTGTTTAGTTGTAACAGTGAGTACTTACGGATTAAATCCTTCTTAATTAATCCAATTAAATAACAAACAAGTGACACCTTCAACTTAATTAAATCCTAATTAGTTTACACTACCGCGATCCCAAACAAGTCACACCTCAACGTGTTTAAACAACATCCCTTTGGTTCATGCCTCACCGTGTGTAAACAACCTGAATTCAGAGGGATTTCTTTGCAAATATCGAGTTAAAAGAGTAATTTTGCTTGTTGGGACCATGAAATTATATCGAGATATCCGAAATATGGAGACATCCGTATCGAGTTAAAAGAGCTTGAATAATGATAAATTATGAAGGATTTTGCCGGGACAGAGATATTATATCGAGACAACCGAGATATCGAGTTATCAGAGTTCGACACAACGGTGCTGGACTGTAGTACTATTATATAATTTTATTGCATGCTCAAAAACCTATTAAATTATTGTTTGATCATAGGTTTATTAAAGAGGATTCAAATTTAAGGCTGCACTGCAAATCCAAGACACTTTAAGACTGTTGAAACCTGAATCTGCATCAACCCAACTATGAAACTGAAAACTTTTAGATTAGTGTTCCAAGTTAAGAGGAGGATACAGTCTGTCATCTCATATATTTTCTGTCACTCATCATTTTTTTGACACTGAAAACTTTCTCAGTCACCTTACATGGTCTACAAAGTTTGACCTGTGTTTATAGTATCACCTGTCTTTTAATCATATTTGGTTGGAGTAATAATTTGTTGGTGCCTGCTTAAGTTTGGATCCCAAGGACCCAATAAAAACAGAACCAAAAAGGCTAATCAGATCAAATTATGCATGAGGGTACCTTGACTTCTCGCTCTCCTCTACAGTCCAATATGTAGCTACCAAGTACCATGAGAATATCTGCGGTCTTCGAACTCATGTGGATCCTCAAGGCTGGAAAATAACATACAATGTCAAAACTGACATATTGATTTCTTCATTTGACACATCCACAGCTCGAAATATTTTGGGACCAGTTGTCTTCTGCCTGACTTGAGTTAATTTACATAATCCATGAGTCTGCAATGAGCATTGGACAAGCTGGATATGATAAGCATATCCATGCTTGGGTTGACAGACCTCAACAAGTAAGTCGATGGGAGATTGAGAGGTCTGACTTGGTTACATGCATTGTTTGGTTGTCATCATACCAAACAGGTTGTGAATATGGTAACCACTGGTTTACAGTGAGACCCCCGGTATCCGGGCACATTTGTTTTTACGTAAATCGTCCGGATAACTGAATATCCGGATATCTGGATTTCTGTCATCCAGGCCGAATGTTGAGGATAAAAAAGCAGTGTGTAGAAGGGGGTGGGCTTATCTTCATGAGTTACGCTTTCGTCAAACTTTTGTCCAGGGGTAAGAAAACAACATCATATCACCTCGCGTGAACAAACAGAAGACAACTTTGTCAGTAAAGACGTCAAATTTGCAATTAAACATCACTAGACAAGTTTATTTACATCTTAAGTACTAAGTTGTTTTTGCTGGGCATTGTATTATTTGCAGGGATTAAGATTGCCGTGTGTATTTGAGCCGGAAATAGCAATCAGCTGTGAACACGTTTCCCGGCAATCAAGTTCAAACATGCACAATAATATAGTAGGTGTTTGAACGGTAGCGAGCATACATTTCTTGTTTAAAATCACTTCCAAAACAGCATGGTCAGTTTGATTTGCCAATTACAAATCACTCTGTGTCAGACAGGTCTACTAATCACCACTAATACCCTGCTTAGCAGACCTTGTCTTGTGTCAAAACACGTGGGACACTTGCGCTTCACTTCACACGGTCAGCGAAAGATCAAAGCTTCGTGCGGATAAGTGAGTCAATTTTGAGTTGATTTAACTGGTTGGTTTGTAAAACTTACCGTCCAGGAACGGAAACCGCATGTCCGTTATAGACTGTCACTTTTATAACGTAAGAGGTTGTTTTGTTTTTATGAAAATTGACCGGAAGGCGAGGTTTCCGGATATCTGGGGTCCGGGTATCTGGGGTCTCACTGTACATGGGTGTGTCTGAATTTTTTTCTGAACAATATTGCTCAAAGCAGCATTAAACGGAGTACAAAATTTGAAAATCTTATTGAAAGAAGCTATAGTTTACATATCTGACAATATTCATATTTCATTCATGTCACATTGCCTCCATGGTCTGTTGGATAATAACTCTCTCCCCGTAGAGTGGAAAGTTGGTTGTTTAAATCCTGGGTGCCTCATATCAAGAGATATAATGCTCATTGTCTCAACACTGTGTTTGAGGGGAGTGACTCTGTTGAACTGTGGCTTGGTGTGACTGGCATCATCATTTCAGCATCAGTCTAAACTAGTATGAGCAGACACAGAGACCACACATGCTCTGATCCTGAGTGTGATGGCAAACCTCATTGCACCCAACCATTCATGTCAAATGCTAACAGTATAAAGTTGTCTGATGTTTGGTGAGGATAATGACTAAGGCTGTTACGACTCACTCACATATTCGCTGAATCGAACCGTAGCCCTTCATGAATTCAATTCGTTATTCATGGTCACCAGAACCAAATATTAACGAATATTTACGATTTTGTTAAGGGAGCATGTTTTACTTGAACATGGACGTTCCATAAAGTGCATCAATCACTTAACTACAATATTATATTCGTGAATAATCATTCGTATTTGTTACCCAAAATTCATGATACGTATCATATTCACCACAGAGTGTATTCGTTGCAGCCCTAATAATGACATAATTGGTTTCAGTTTCACAGTTGAAAGTATTATGTAGGTGATGATGGTATCCTATAGTTATGAATTATGCATGACAACATTTGAACATTTGATTAACAAATAACTTGTATTAAATAAAATATATGGAGCATAATAATAGTAATGATGCAACAAATCTGCTCATGTTTTAAGAATAACTTTCCATATTCCACACTCAACACAAGCAAATAACTAAAAACCAAATTGACTCTTTTGCAACATCATTCTTCGACCAAACTCACCCATTGAACTAGACTCCATTCTAGATGCTGTGTTGACCGTGTCACCAAACAGACAGTACCTGGGCATCTTGAGACCAACAACACCAGCCACAGCAGGACCTGGGGATTTCAAATATTCATTAACCAAACATCGTGTTTTATGTAGTCAGGTATAAGCATACTGTTGTTGTATGACTTATTGTAAGATGCTGTCTATGTTTAAAATGTTATAGAAGAACTGCTCTCATCATGCTAACCTAAAGCTACCATTCCAAGATATCACACACGTATATGTTGAGGGATCACAAATCACAATCTGAAGCACTGAGATAAAAAGATACTCATGTCACTGCCCTGTTGTTTTTAAAAATGCAAAAAAGTTAGTGAAATTTGAAAACTTCTGCAAATGATGGAAGTAGTAACTGACTATCATATGTAAGTGAAAAAAACAGAAGCATTTGTCTACACATGTGACATCCAAGGATTTATTTAGATCTTCCCCATGGCAGATATTCTGAGGCCCTAAGTCTTCAGCAAATGACAGTAAAAGTTCCCAAATTAAAACTGAATATTTCCAAATTTAATGCTTAGATTGACTTTATAGCATGAAATGTTGATGTTTAAATTCAATGTACAAAAAAATGACTCTGAATTTTGAATAGATAAGAGCCTAAAAATAATCTTAATTTACACTAAATAATGATTCTGCCAATTTGTCTGTCTTCGGTGTAACAAGTGAACGCTCTGACCTGACTTTCACCAAAAGGTGGACGAGAGATGTGCTGATAGCAAAGTCTCCTGGGGTTTTCTAAAAACAGGATTACCAATAAATTTCTATTCTGGATTTCTCTATGAAAAATGTTGTAATTTATCAGCTGAATATTTTACAAACCAGAGTGCATCCCCACACGGAGCTGTAGTATTTCCTCAGGCATGTGTCGTATCTTGAAGCCAATCATGGAGGACAGCAGATCAAGACTCATTGTTGCAATTTCTCCTGCATGGAGATTGCCATTCCTGATTGGCAAGCCACTCACAACCATGTCTAAAGGAAACAAAATACTTCCATCCTACACAGCATATTAAAACAACATATTGCAGGATCAAGGCACGCTGTAGTTCACCTGAATTTTCACAACGTTATTGATAAATTACTTGATGACGTATGCCAAACAAGTGTCCTTACTCAAAATAACATAAAACTCTTCATTAATTCTTACACAATAAACATCCTTGTCTGTGGAATTACACACAGATACATAAATAGCCGACAAAATTGTTTTTAATAAAATTGAGTAGTAAGATCAGTGAATGTTTCAACGCCACAGTTAGGTATAATCCAGCTAAATCCCAGAGGCATTTATGTTAATCTGGACCAGGGAAACCAGACAGAACTCTGATCATCAGACCACATCAGGGGCATGATGACCCACAATCACCAATGTCACACCCTCGGGAAAAATGATATTCTTTGAACCTGGGTTATTTAACACTTTATTTTCCTTGCTAATGAATACATGTTACTAATGTCAATATCTTTAAATGAAGGTATATGGTTTATAAGTATGGTAATACTGTATAGCCTCAACTTACATGCATCACCAATTGTTTCTACTTTGTATACATCATAGTTGTCCAGAATGGCATCAAATGTTGTGTACAGATCATTCAGCAAGTCTACAACTTGTAGAGGAGTACTGCCCCTTGCAATGGCAGTGAAACCCACAATGTCACTGAAAAAGGCAATGAGCATAGTGAGTACACAAAAACCTTATGAAATTCTATTTGTGAGCATGAGTGATAGTGGTGTTCCGATTAATTGAAATAGTCGAAGATTGGTCGCAGTGACCAAACGACCAAGCAATCGATCACATTTTCTCATAATCGAACATAAACGATTTTGGAACTACTGTTTTAGTGTTTGAAATACTTGACAATGGATCATATCTTAGAAGCTGTCAGGGCATGAAAACATGTTTAATTCTTAGAAAACTCACTTCACTAACTGAAAAGTCATGACTGAATATTTCTCTGAGACTCCATAAAGTTTATGTTCATGATATATTAGTCATAACTTTAAAGTAGCAAGTTGCATCATGTTATTAATATCTCCAATAACAACCTGGATATGAAAATTTGAAAAATGACGCTAACCAATTTTTGTTGATGATTGTTCGTTGGTAATGAAGCAATCATCAATTGTGAGATTTCAACCAATTCCCAACACTAGTGAGTGAAAGTGTTTGTTTCATTACTCTACCAATGGGATAGTACTATTTACACAGATATAATCTGGACCAGACAATCAAGGCACACACTTTTAATCAAGTCACTAATCAACCCGGTCCATTCAACTGCTCATTACGGCCATTATAGGTAACTAAGGCTTAATTGCAACAAAGGAACCAAACAGGTGTTGACATATTCACCTTCTCAAGGCCAAATTACTCTTGCAAGAATCCTGTTTGTTGTTACGTGGCACTTATATGTGTAGGATAAAGCAGGACTCCGAGGTTATGGTTGGGAAAGTAAGACCCGAGACCGGAGGGTGGGGAGAAGTAAGACTGAGAGCGCGAATCGCTTGAGGTCTTACTTCTCTCCACCCGATGGTCGAGGGCTTACTTGCCCAACCAAAAACCTCAAATGAGGTTATTCCGGGAAAAGAAGCCATGTCTAATATATAGTGAGAAGCACCCTTCAGGTTTATATTCCAGATCAATGCAGGTGACATAACTCTGACTGGGCCAGACAAATCAGTGATCAACATCTGAAATAATCCATTCCTTTACATCCTATGACCAGCATTGATAGCTGGGGAAATAAGAGAGACATTGAAGAATTAATTTATATAAAATTATGACAAAAATAAGATACCTGAAGAAAATGGTGACACATTCAAAGCTCTCTGGATCAACTTTTCGACCATGCTTGAGATCCTCTACAACCTTCTTCGGCAACATCTGGCTGACAAGTTGCTCTGTTTTGGCTTTCTCCACCTGCAGTTCCTTTGTTCTGTCAGCTACGATTGCTTCCAGATTACTGGAGTATTTCTCAAGCTGAAAAAGTCAGTATGCATTGCTCAGACAGCTATCTGACTAGATCAGATTTGAAGTCGAAGGCTTCTTATTGTGGGTGTTAACATACCAACACTTATTCCCCTTTTGGCCCAATTATATTACTGAAATATTTAACGAACTCAACAGAAAGAAATTTTTATTGTTACACATTTGTGAACTAATGTTTTGGTGGATCAGTAAATTGAATTGACCAAACAATACTGCCTAATCCTGTAGTAGAATCTATCCGGTACTTACCATGTTTACGAGATTGTCTATGAGTTCACCCTTGACAGGATGAATTTCATTCAACCTCATCAACATCTCCTTGAAAACTGGTCTTGATTCTGGATTTGGATGAAACCCAGCTTCGAACATCTGAAACAGAATGAAAACATGACTTTCCTGATGCTAAATGCCATTTGAAAAACTCTTCACTGAGCTTAAATTGTATATTTTGATTATTATCTCAGTTAATGCTCGGGGAAAGACCCCTGACCAAAATCAGGAAAAAGTGGTTGGATTGGTTTAGTTGTTGTTTAACACCGCACTCAGCAATATTCCAGCTATATGGCGGCGGTCTGTAAATAAACGACTCGGGACCAGACAATCCAGTGACCAAAGGCATGAGCATCAATCTACGCAACTGGGATAAGATGACATGTGTCAACCAAGTCAGCAAGTTTGACCACCCGGTCCTGTTAGTCACCTCTTACAACAAGCATGGGCTGCTGAAGACCAATTCTAACCCTGATCTACACGTGGTTGGAGGGTGAGGGAGTAAAAAAGCAATGATACTGCCATTGGACCATAGCTTACCTGCATAACAACAGCTAGGATGACAACCACAAAATGAGACTAACTGAAATTTTATGCTAATTTCAATGCAAGTACATGGTACAAACCATGAGAACCTATCACACTGCAGCAGTTATCAAATGGCGTAATGTCATACAGCATTTTATCAATATGGCTGCTTAGGACAGCAAATTGAAGTCAAATATAAATATGTAATTGTTTTGAATAAATTCAGGTGTCATCATTGGTTGGAAGAAGCCTGTGATGTTTGAGCTTATCTATTCATCCGTTTCTGAGGGCGTTTCCTTCATTCAGTCAGGTGACTTAAAATGACCATTGAAAACTATACTAAGCAGCAAAAGAAACGTCAGTTTGGCATTTTCAGCCGCCGCAGAACGGATAACTGTAAACTCATTTAATGTTTTGATCGTACATTTTTTGACAACATCTCCAACTTTACCTGAGCAAAGACATTCCTTCCCAGAATGGAACCCAGGAAATGGTCTAAAAAAAATGTGCTAACCTGATCCTGGAGATGGTACGGTGTTCTCCATGTTTTCATGCTGCATGCTGCACGTGCTGTTCACAAGGACCAGCCCTATAAAATGCACTCCCAAACCTGGTTGAAAAATTCACATTACAACATCAGCAGGATGCGCGACTCCACACGCGACAGCTCGAAGGAACCAGGCTAGGGAAGACTTGAAGCTGGCCACACTGCACAAGCCGTTGCCAATCACTTCCAGGTCAACGTTCGGACCATCTACAAGCTGCAGCAACGTTTCCGGGCCACCAACACCACAAATGATCGCCCCCGTACTGGCAGACCAGGGTGACCACAAGATGACAAGACCGCCATGTTGTGCAACAGCATGTACAGCATGCCTTCATGCAGGCATCCGAAACAGCACGCCAGACAGTGGGAACAAACAGAAGACCAATCAGTACAGATACAGTACGTCGATGTCTTAACAGCGGGAACCTCCACTGCCATAGACCTTACCGTGGACCTATCCTCACCCCTCGTCACCCTCGACAGTTTGCCCTACAACACCAAAACTGGCAATACAGGCAATGGAGAACTGTTCTGTTCACAGATGAAAGTCGGTACTGCGTATCAACTGCAGATGGAAGAACAAGAATATGGCGTAGCAGCGTGGCCAGCGTTACTCAGACCAATGTGTTATGGAAAGAGACTCATGGGGAGGTGCAAGCATCTTGGTATGGGGTGGAATAGGCCTGAACCAGAGAGTGGGTCCTGTGGTGTTCCAGAACCTTGGTCCAGGGAGAGGAGGCGGCATCACAGCGTGCTAATACATTCCTTCAGTAAACTGAGACTTTGAATGTGTTTATCTCTGTGCTAAAGTAGGGAAAACACGACCAAATTTATTTCCTTATTTTCTCCATATCGTCATTTTTCGATCTTAGTGAACATAGTTCTCAGTTGTTACTGGCCCGATTTCAATGAAATTTTGTGTACATATAGCCAGTTGATTACTTTATGCAATAACAGAGAGACTTTTTCAAATTTGTTGCGGTTTTCTTTTTAGAAAATGAAATATGAGTGAAAATCACCCCCAAAAGTGATTTTTAAAACAAATTTTAAATAAAATAACAGTCTTTTTAAAAAAATATCTCTCTGTCATTGCACCCTACACACCCCAAGGTATGTTGTAAAGTTGAAATTATATAGATATCTTTATTAGTTTTAGAGAAAAACTTTCACTAAATTTCATCTTTTTTCAGGCTTGCGTCCATTTTGGACGTTTCCATGGCAACCGGTGGCACCATCACCTGGAAAAGACTCTTTATCGATTGTTAACATGTATACCTCTAAGTTGAAACTAAATAAACCTAACAAATACTTGTTAAGCATTTTGTCATATGTCAGGTGCAGTGTCTGGCCTTAACACCGCACTCAGCAATATTCCAGCTATATGGCGGCGGTCTGTAAATAAACGACTCGGGACCAGACAATCCAGTGAACAAAGGCATGAGCATCAATCTACGCAACTGGGATAAGATGACATGTGTCAACCAAGTCAGCGAGTTTGACCACCCGGTCCTGTTAGTCACCTCTTACAAGCATGGGCTGCTGAAGACCAATTCTAACCCTGATCTACATGTGGTTGGAGGGTGAGGGAGTAAAAAAGCAATGATACTGCCATTGGACCATAGCTTACCTGCATAACAACAGCTAGGATGACAACCACAAAATGAGACAAACTGAAATTTTATGCTAATTTCAATGCAAGTACAAACCATGAGAACCTATCACACTGCAGCAGTTATCAAATGGCCGTAATGTCATACAGCATTTTATCAATATGGCTGCTTAGGACAGCAAATTGAAGTCCAATATAAATATGTAATTGTTTTGAATAAATTCAGGTGTCATCATTGGTTGGAAGAAGCCTGTGATGTTTGAGCTTATCTATTCATCCGTTTCTGAGACGTTTCCTTCATTCAGTCAGGTGACTTAAAATGACCATTGAAAACTATACTAAGCAGCAAAAGAAACGTCAGTTTGGCATTTTCCTTCGCAGAACGGATAACTGTAAACTCATTTAATGTTTTGATTGTACATTTTTGACAACATCTCCAACTTTACCTGAGCAAAGACATTCCTTCCCAGAATGGAACCCAGGAAATGGTCTAAAAAAATGCTACCTGATCTCGGAGATGGTACGGTGTTCTCCATGTTTTCATGCAACTCATGCTGCACGTGCTGTTCACAAGGACCAGCCCTATAAAATGCACTCCCAAACCTGGTTGAAAATTCACATTACAACATCAGCAGGATGCCGCGACTCACGACAGCTCGAAGGAACCAGGCGCTAGGAAGACTTGAAGCTGGCCACACTGCACAAGCCGTTGCCAATCACTTCCAGGTCAACGTTCGGACCATCTACAAGCTGCAGCAACGTTTCCGGGCCACCAACACCACAAATGATCGCCCCCGTACTGGCAGACCAGGGTGACCACAAGATGACAAGACCGCCATGTTGTGCAACAGCATGTACAGCATGCCTTCATGCAGGCATCCGAAACAGCACGCCAGACAGTGGGAACAAACAGAAGACCAATCAGTACAGATACAGTACGTCGATGTCTTAACAGCGGGAACCTCCACTGCCATAGACCTTACCGTGGACCTATCCTCACCCCTCGTCACCCTCGACAGTTTGCCCTACAACACCAAAACTGGCAATACAGGCAATGGAGAACTGTTCTGTTCACAGATGAAAGTCGGTACTGCGTATCAACTGCAGATGGAAGAACAAGAATATGGCGACGACGTGGCCAGCGTTACTCAGACCAATGTGTTATGGAAAGAGACTCATGGGGAGGTGCAAGCATCTTGGTATGGGGTGGAATAGGCCTGAACCAGAGAGTGGGTCCTGTGGTGTTCCAGAACCTTGGTCCAGGGAGAGGAGGCGGCATCACAGGGGTGCGCTACATCGACTAAGCTCTCAGACCCCACGTCATACCACATTTCACACGTCACCTAAACAACATTTTCCAGCATGATAACGCCTGGGCCCATACTGCAAGAGCTACACGGGACTTCCTACAGCAGAACGGTGTCAAGATTATGCAGTGGCCAGCCCATAGTCCTGATATATCTGAATGGACTGCAAATTGTCATGTAATGTCTTGGAATTGTGCTGAGTTATTCATTGATGTGTCAACATATTGTACACTAAAAATGTTTTTGATCCGCTTATTATGTCCATTTCTGTAATGATTTGATTATAGTGCCTATCTAATTTTGAATTCGTACTGACGTTTTTGCTGCTGAGTATATAACATAAGTTTCTTGGAGAAACACTGTTTATAAAAATAGTTTTTGAAAAACTATATCTCAAGAGTGAACTGTCACCAATCTGACATGGAGCCTGCTGCTACTGTAATCTTGAATGTGTTTCTTGTCGGGCTCACCTTCCTCATGTTGGCTTTAGCATCATAGTCTTCTGGTAAAAAGCTCTCTTCTACATACGGTCGGAATGGCATCATGGTATCTGCTTTAAGCTCTCTCCACAACTGAAATAGAGCAAGGGATATAGACATTATTGAATATCATTGCAGTCACATCTTGGCATGTCATCTTGATGACTAGTATTCTTGATGAAATCACCAATCTCAAAGGTGATGGGGCAACTAGAGAAAAAACACATCTATTCTGAACTTACTGCTTGAGCTTCTTTGTTGTCTGGATTATCTTTGTCAATAACCATTTGAATTATGTGTTTGGGCTCCATAACTTGAAGTTCATATGTGAAAGGTTGTTCTCGGGTGCAGACCTCAGTGACAATGATTGTAAATCTGCCAACATTTTAAAGAAATTTTCATATGGGTCATATATAGATTCAACATTACATATATTATTTCTACAGACATTTGCAATAAAAAACATACTGAAAAGCAGTAAAAGAAGTTTATAAAAAATATCAACTGAATTAGTGCCCAACACACTTTCTTTCTCCATGGCTTTGTTTGTAATGGAAAATCTTCAAGCTATATGACAGCAGTCTGCATATAATCCAGTCTCGGACATACAATCAAGTGATAGATATGAAGATCAACCATCCAGGCAGTGTGTGGTCTTGTGCAAAGAGCCTGGGTCACAAAGCAGTTGAAGTTAAGCAGCGAGTCCTTGGATCGGTGATCGTGTTTGGCAGCTTGACTCCTGCGAGTTTCTGGGACTTCAGTCCTGCCTCACAATGAAGCACATGTGATACATGTGGTCTCACCTTAGGCAAGTAAGTTTGTCACAATAATTTAGTTATTTTCCAAGACCCAGCAAGCTCAAGGGTTCTCAAAGCACTGTAAACGGAGGAACGTCTAACCATGATATTTTTCATTGGTGCCCCAAAGGGTTCCATGTGTATGTCCGACATAAGGTCACCTGGAATATGCCCAGGCAAAACTTAGACTGTCGCCTGCAAGTTTGAAGTCACTATATTTACAGTTTGTTTGGTTTGTTGTTTAAAGCCGCACTCAGCAATATTCAAGCTATATGGTGGCGGTCTGTAAATAACTGAGTCTGGACCAGACAATCCAGTGATCAAAAGCATGAGCATCGATCTACGCAATTGGGATACGATGACATGTGTCAACCAGCGTGACCACCCGATCCCGGTTAGTCACTTCTTACGACAAGCATGGGTTACTGAAGATCAATTCTAACCCAGATCTTCAAAGACGTGACAATAACACTAAGATGTATCTACTAATAATGTCCTCCTTGAAAGTTACTCCATGCACTCACGAGTAAATGTCCCCTGCTTTGGATCCAGACTGAACATCACCAAGGGATGAGCAGGTAGTCAGAAACTCTGGAGCTGTCCAGAATAGTGTACTAGTAAAAAAAGGAGAAGACAATGTTATGCTGACAGTTGTCCATGTCTTAAAAACAAATCATTAAAAAAACATAAAAAACTAAAGGCCCAGTTTTACTACAAAGGAAGACAAAGTCATCAATATCCCCCGCAGTGGTAAAATACTCTTGATGAATATGTTAACTAGTTATGGCACATATTGTCATCATGTACACATAAATCCAGATCTGAAAGACAGTATAAACATTGTTCTTCACATTGATCTAACGATAACATACCGATGTAAACTATTCATATACTAGTATGCTTGTATCAACAACAGGCTGCCTGAGTGCTTCCACGGTTTGAGGTACCTCAGCAATGTTGATACTGGGAATACAGTGGTACTGTTGATTTATGTCAATACTATAAGCAGTCATTAGGTTCTTGAATACCCAAGAAGTGGAAGGAGAGTATTGAATGGTTTTACAATTTTAAAGGAGCAGCAACACCAATTTCAGTCAAAGTAAAATCTGTTGCCATAGAAAAATATTTTATTCAGAAATGCAAAACTACCAAAAGGCACCAGTTCCCAACCAGACCTATCTATTTGGGGTAGAAATACTGTATATGGTTTCTATGGTCTGCTCTGGAAATGGACGGATTGAGTCCATGTTGCAGGGGTTAAAACGAGTACCCATGCTTCAGATTGTAAGAAAAACAATGTGTGTATGTCTGTGGACAAGAAGCCAATATATAAATTTTGTTATCCATACCAGTTAAAAGAATTAATAATGGGCGGTGAATATCATAACTCACTTTTTGACACAACTACTACTACTACTACTGCTACAACTACTACTTCTGCTGTTACTACTACCACCACCACCACCACTACTAGCACTGAACTGTTTTGTTAAGTGAGAATTTGTTATGGATGTCATTGTGTAGTCTGCATTGTGCAGTGTATGTGATGTGACAAAAGTCATTGTAATGATTTATAAATTATCACTTTATAAATAAGAAGTAGGGGAAATGCTTCGGATATTCACAACAGTTAAAACAGGACTTTCTTCCCCCCATAAAAACAAATCAACACATACTACATAACTCTGTTTACATTCTTGCTTTATATAAATTTCATTTCTTCTGCAATAAAACGTATTGAGATAGAAAAACCTTTCAGCTGTTAATCACCATTTCAATACCCAAACATCTGTTTTTAGTTTTGCATTTTCATGTTTTCTGAGAGCCTTACCATTAAGTTTATGAGAGCATTCCTGTTCAATTTTGTTAAGTTTTAGTTTTGGGGACATTATTGTTTCCATATTTCCCACTTTTGTATATACAGTAACAGCAACATTCAACTATGTCTGTAATATGTACAGCATTCTTCATGTGTTCCCTTAGTTTTTTTAATAAAAATTATTGGGTAAAACCAAAAATCCATGTCACTTCTGCACAAAACATATAGAAACAAAAAAGAAAAATATGCAAAACCACAATAATCAGTATGACCTGAAAATGAACAAAACCATACATATTTACATATAAACTGTTATATCCTATTGAGGAATTCCTCGAGTGTATCAGATCATCCATACCTGAGCTTGTTTGCTTCCTCATTCTCAGACAATCTTTTAGCACCATATCTTAATGTTGGAACTCCAAACCCTAGAAAACAAAATGTTTCATTTTATTTCCTTGAGGTCCATCTGGCCTAAAACAAAATGTTGTGGTTTCGATTAACCAACCAACCCTTGAATTCTGGTGCTGATCCTATGTTTTTTAAGCGGTATGAATAAAGTAACAAGTGTTTGCCACTAATGTTGCAATGTCCCCCGCTGCTTAAGAAGAATGAAATATTTATAACATATTTACTACTGGTTTTTTGGGGTCACATACAAGATGCCTGAAATGACTGGTGTCTGCTCACCCAATGTAGGCTGTCGACATAAATGAAGACATTGGGTACAATGTTTTATGAGAAATCGTGTTTACATAAGTTTGAAAAGTGGTCAAAGTGTCGTGGTGACCTTGAAAATAAGGTCAAGGTCACCAAAATCAACTGGTGTCTGTGCAATCCCCCAATGTAGTCAGTCACTAAATTTGAAGACATTGGGTACAACAGTTCATGAGATATCGCGTTAACAAGAATCGGGACGTACGTCGTACGTCCCCCGTTCTGCGTTGCGACAGGGGACAATAAGCTTTCAAATACCATTGTTTTTCCCCCAGATAGAGAAAGTCGACATGATGGCCGTAAGCTTGATTGAATAGACAATTACACATTGATAAATGTGTTATTAGTTTGTACTTTACTTCTAAAAAAGAATGTAAAAAAATAAGATCCTACCTACCTACCCTAAATTTTAAATCGGAACCACAACATTTCTTCTTGGGTATTATGTGCACATCAGCATAATGCACACATTCCATTTTTTAAAATACAAGTTTCAGAAAAACATAATTTTTCATGCCATACAGTCAAATTTCACATTGTATTGCTTCAAATGAAAAAACAAATGATAACAAACAGATCAATGTGAAATTTGCAATTCATTTGTATTTCTTGTGTTAAAGAATGAGGACTATTTTTATGGATATACAACTTCTCTATTCTATATAGGCGATGTTTCGACATAGATTCTAATGTCGTTGTCAAGCAAGTGGTACATGGGAAGCAGTTTCTTTTGTTAAATGGTAATGCAGATATCAAGATGATATTTAAGGATATCTCATTCACAAAACTGTACGCACAAACTGTGTTTGGATGCTTGATTTCTTTGAAAGTATTCTTGCTAGAAATAACTTACTTAATGCTAGACATTGTTGTTAGTTCCTGTAGTTTAACCTCAAAACAAAATACCCCCTATCTATTTGCACAGAAAAACCTTGGACAACTCTTGTCAATGGCTGCATTTCTATGATTTAAGAATGAAACTGTGGTAGACACAAAATAGTTTATGGTATGTTACTCTCAATAATATAAGCATCCTGATAACATATTTCATTCATCAGGGAAAATTGGAATTGATTGCATCGGAGTCCTGAGCTAGTAATTTTTCGGAGTGCTTGTTAAAATGTTGTCATTATCATAAAGCTCAGTGGCATGGCGGACTTGACATCAAACACATTTAAGTGGATGGTCGAAGTGTTCAAGGTTTTCTTGATGTGACTCTCTCTGGAGACATCATGAAATCTGCATGATGTCGTAAAAGATCTGGGTTTCGTTGTTCAAAACAACCTTAGCTAAGGTCAACCTTAAACACTAAGGTTAGAGTTACGATCACCTTAAGAAAAAGTTACGCCTGTTGCACAAAACAACCTTAGGGCAACCTTAAGTCGGACTCGAACCTTAGCCGTAACCTTAACTAAGGCTGAACTCTTCAGCGCTGGAGTTACGGAAGCGTCCCTAGTTACCACGTGAATTATCTCCCCTGCTCGCACCTGCAGACGACAACAATGTCAATGTCTCAGCGGAAGCGCAATCGGCATTCAAACTTTTCTCCTTCCGAGATAAGTTTGATAGCTGACGAGGGGAAGGCGCGACAGAGTGTGTTGTTCGGCCCGTTTTCGTCAACAGTAACCAACACAACCAAAATACGGGAATGGGATGAAATCGCAACCAAGTAAATGTTACTTCCGGGTTGTATCACAAAACGTTTTCAACATCGATTGAAAGCAAATATTTATAAAATGTGTAGTGACTAGTCTGGAACATGAGCGACAACAAACCTATAGAACCCTTATATTCTCAGGGTTCATATACTTGAAAAACCATCAAAATCCATGACTTTTCCGTGATTTCTGCAGGATGTTTCGCAACTTTTCCATCACAAGACAAACAGCGACCCAGTGCATTTATAAATTGTTAAACGTGAAAATTGAAGACTCTGAAGTGGACACATATTGTATGACCCAAATGACATCAAAAAAATAATAGCACATTTTACTTATTAGAAAAATAACAGCAAACTTGTGCCCACCATGACTGTGTCAAGTTTTTACATTCCAAAACTTTTCCAGGTTTCCATGACCTGTACGAACCCTGTATAATATAAGTGAATATCAATCATATAAACAAAGAGATTTACATTTATTTATTTTTTTACTTATTTTAAGACTAAACGCCTGTTCGTCCGTCCAAAGATCTGGAGCCCAGATACGGAAGAAATGGAACGATTACAAGTGAGTAATTACCTGATTTTCTTTATATCGATAGCCAATTCAAAGCTGTGTTTAATATATGTGTGTTTTACTGGCTAAAGTAATTATCAACAATTTAAACCATACTCGAAATATACAGACATATCAAGATTTCAATATAATCATGTGTATGGTTTACCCTGAAAATGGTTGTTATTGATATGAATTTTTTAATTTTTTTATCCTATTACTGTACAGTTGGATTCAGATATATTCAACCCTCATGGCCAAAACATGCAATCACATTTATTGCAGAGACAGTACTTATTATCTGTGATGATATAGTGACACAAGTATGGTTTAAGTATTTTTAACAAACAAACACAAAGGAAAAGTGTAAATTAAATAAAATGTCATGCTTTCATTGATTTTAACAGTTTCAAAATTATTCTGACTTTGAAATAGGGGGTTGAATAATTTTGATTTCAACTGTAGGTGGCAAATTATCCTGATCATCACCAACAATGATAAATGACAAAACACTCATTTTGTTGTTTCCCAAATGATTGAAATATATATTTTAACAATAAATCAGTATGAGATTTAACACATAGAGTATTGTTGTTACACACAGTAACACATTGCCAGATATATTCCCATATATACAATTAGCACCTCTTTTATAATTCTTTTTGAAAATAAAGTTTTCATTAATGTTCAGAAATATTTACATAATGAGGTATAACCTTAATAAAAATGTTGCAAGCTATCACAGCAATAAAAGGTGTGTAAATTACATGAAAATTGATATAAATGCGATTTACTAGAACACTTGAAAACAAATTGATAACTAATTTTATGCTGTATTTGCATTATAGTATAAATGATGGCATTTTCCAGATCCCAGGTGAAGGAGAAGGCCATTGATGTGCGGCGTGAGAGCTGCAAGACAGGCGGGGGTCCAGCACCAGTTGGTCTGTCTGACCTGGAGCACAAGGTTGGATTTGTGATCGATTATTAAAATGGTTATTAAAAAAAGTGATGAAATTTATCTCATTTTGGTCTTACATAGTTAAAGTTAGTAAATCCTTATCTCATCCCATTCCAGAGTCTCAAACATTTCCAGCATATCAAAAACATTTACGTAATAATTGTGTGTTTTCATGTTTGTAGGTTGTGTCAATGATTCCTCAGTGCCAGATTGAAGGAATAACTGGTGGATTAGAGAGTGAAGTGGAGGAAAGTATGTGATAAATAATACACTACTATTATACCATACATATATCTATGAATATGTATGTCAAATTCATATCAACATTTCAACATCAATTGCAAAAGAATCACATTCAATAACAAATCAATTTTGTTTTGAAACTAAATATTTACAGGAATTCGCTATTCCAATTATTAGGTTGCACATTGCAGTATAATGAGGGTAATGTTGTTTTTTAAGGGTAATGTCATTTGCAGATGTCTGATGTCTTCCATTAACAGTTCGACAAAGGAAAATAGTTTGTGTGATGAAAATGATACATTAATTTACTTTTAAAACTTTTTTGCAGTTTGCGTCACCTTGGAAACCAAAGATGCACCAGTATGCACGGTTGTGGAAGTAGATGAAGCATTTGGTAAATATGTGTATTTGTATGTCTGTCTGTCTGTCTGTCTGTCTGTCTGTCTGTCATGTCTGTCTGTATGCATTAAAGCAATATTTATCAATTGAATCAAATTCATATTTGAAAAGAAAATATCTTCAACTGATCAATGCTTTAGAAGTAATACTGTATCATGGCAACATTCAGAATTGCACAACCTAGCCGGGTTTGGCGTATCATGGTATACATAATGTGAACCTTACACCTACTTCACAAAAAACTTTTAAAAAAATTTAAAACATATTTATGTATTTTCAGAATCAGGACTTACATTGACCAGCCTCCCTGTGGTATCAAGTGCGTTTGTACCATCATCAACAGTACAGCAGCCATCAACTGCTACATCAGAGCTTGCCCTAGTACCCTCCACATCACAGCCATCAACAGAGCAGGCAGCCGAACAACCTGATAGTGAAAGGCCCCAAACAACTGTAAATGGTAAAATAAAACAAAGCAATTTTGAATGAACAGAATATATTCAGAAACATGTCAAACATAGTGCATTGTAATTTCAAGTATATGTTAGTATAATTTTATGGCAATACCAACACTATAAATGTGTACTCATATTAAATGTATTGGTTATAATTTATCTCTATAAAAAACTAAATATTAATGATATTTTTTGCAGCAACTGAAATCCATTCTAGGACTAAAGTTACACACAAGTCAAGAAAATCTGGTAGGTAGGACATGTTCAAGTAAGAAAAGTTACTAGATTTAGATTAGGGCTGGGACGGGTGGGTACTGAGTAGGACCCAGGTGAAGAATGTATTGTTTTACCACAACAATGTACCCAGGTAGTAAATTTAGACCCCTCCAAGCCTTAATTCAGAGTGTAGTATAAATAGCAAACAAGAATTTTTAACTTAACAGTTTAATTGCATACAACAACAAGTGTTTGCCACTGATGTGGCAATGTCCCCCGCCGCTAAAGAATGGAATATCTATATTTACTACTTTTTATTTTTGGGTCACATACAAGATGCCTGAAATGACTGGTGTCTACATAATCACCCAATGTAGGCTGTCAACATACTTGAAAACATTGGGTGCAATGTTTTATGAGATATCGCCTTTAAAAAGCGGTCAAAGTATCATGGTGACCTTGAAGATAAGGTCAAGGTCACCCAAATAAACTGGTGTCTGTGTAATACCCCAATGTAAACTGTCACCAAATTTGATGACATTGGGTACAACAGTGCATGAGATATCGCGTTAACAAAAGTTGAAAGTGTGAAAAGTGTCGTGGTGACCTTGAAAATAAGGTCAAGGTCACCCAAAATCAACTGGTGTCTGCGTAATCCGCCAATGTAGGCTGTCACCAAATTTGAAGACACTGGGTACAACAGTCGATGAGATGCCGTGTTAAGAAGAGTTTATAAAAGTGTTCAAAGTGTCGTGGTGACCTTGAAAATAAGGTCAAGGTCACCTAAATACAGTGGTGCCTGCGTAATCCCCTAATGTAGGCTGTCACCAAATTTGAAGACACTGGGTACAACAGTGCATGAGATATCACGTTAACAACAGTTTGAAAAGTGGTCAGTGTCGTGGTGACCTTGAAAATAAGGTCAAGGTCACCCAAATCGAATGGTGTCTGCATAATCCCCCAATGTAGGCTGTCACAAAATTTGAAGACATTGGGTGCAACAGTTCATGAGATATCGCGTTAACAAGAGTTTGAAAAGTGGTCAAAGTGTCGTTTGAATCGGGACGTACGTACGCCGCTGAATACATAGTCCCCCGTTGCGCATTGCGGCGGGGGACAATAAAACAAATCGCAATTATGAAATTATTACCTTTTCTACAGAAAGGGAAGCTCAGCCAGGCGTGACTGCCATCCTTGCTAGTGAAAAGGAAAGGACTGGAATACTGAAGGTCCTCCTTGAAGTACAAAGAAAAATCCTGGCTGTCTCGGAACAGCGACTTCAGGTGGAGACTGACAGGCTGGCCCTGGAAAGAGAGAACTTTGAATTTAAAAAAAAGTGTAATTAACCTACCAGAATACAAAACTGTTTCTCCCGTAATACAGTTTCTGCATGAATTGTAATCAACTTCATTATCTAATTATGAGATAATCCTTTTTGGAGCTTGTTTGAATGAAACTTGTTTATAATTTTGTATGTAGCTTTTGTAATGTTGAAAATCAATCTCTATGCCATGTATATTGGGAGTGTAATGCAACCCAAAGTTTTTGGAAAGAAATTGAAAGTTATATTATCAAAAATATACAGACTTTTAAAATAACAAAATCTGCAGTATGGTTTGACATTTTAGGCAATAACAATTACTAAACCACATAATATTTTCTGCAATTTTTTTAACTTATACTTGCACCTTAACAACTAATCAATTCCTACAAGTTTTGAAAGACATATCTGCTGTTGAAAGATTCACAGCAAGAAGAAATAACAGCTTTGATAACTTTATAAATAAACGTTGGCCTTTCATCCCAATATTCAATCTTTGACAAACTTAAAAAAATGATATTGATGGGTTTTTAACTCACACCTGCTGTACATGTATTACCTTTTTCACTAGCTTATCTGAATTATGCATGGGAACAAAAAAACAACAAACTATTTTATGATTTTTATGCTTCATAACTTCTTGTTGTTCACTTTGTTTCAAACTTGTATCAAGATAATGTTTTACCGTTATTAAATTTAATGTTATGTGATATACAATGGAGTTGTTTTTACTTACATTTCATGAAAATCTTTCGTTGACAAGGTTCTGCCTAGCGGTGTTGCCATCTACTCACTGCCTGGGAGCGGGTGGGGTGTTGGTCTCCGCCTCTGCCTCTTCCAGTACATCTCCCGGTGGTACCTGCACTCCCTTGGTGATGCAGTAATTATGGAGCTTAAAGCATGCCATAATTACCACAGAGCACCTGTCTGGGCTGAACTACAGACATCCAGAGGACTTGTGCAAACGCCTGGAATATTTTCATACAAATCAAATCTTACAACAATATTCTGGCAACAGGGGTTTAAAATAATCCTGATCATAATTTAGTTTGCAAGTACTGATTTAAATTCTGATTACATAACAATCAGGTCAAACTCACCTAAACCTTGCCTTTAAAACACCAAATGCACGCTCAATGGTGTTTCTTGTTCTAGTGTGGGCAGAGTTGTACCTCTCTTGGGGACGTGTCTGCAACTCAGTAAAGGGTGTTTGAAGCCATGGTCGACATGCATATCTGAAAAAAATCATTACTTGATTGTTATACCAATATATCAACATATCAATGATGTCATGATTGATAGTTACAAAAAATCATTACTTGATTGTTATACCAATATATCAACATATCAATGATGTCATGATTGATAGTTACAAAAAATCATTACTTGATTGTTATACCAATATATCAACATATCAATGATGTCATGATTGATAGTTACAAAAAATCATTACTTGATTGTTATACCAATATATCAACATATCAATGATGTCATGATTGATAGTTACAAAAAATCATTACTTGATTGTTATACCAATATATCAACATATCAATGATGTCATGATTGATAGTTACAAAAAATCATTACTTGATTGTTATACCAACATATCAATGATGTCATGATTGATAGTTACAAAAAATCATTACTTGATTGTTATACCAATATATCAACATATCAATGATGTCATGATTGATAGTTACAAAAAATCATTACTTGATTGTTATACCAACATATCAATGATGTCATGATTGATAGTTACAAAAAATCATTACTTGATTGTTATACCAATATATCAACATATCAATGATGTCATGATTGATAGTTACAAAAAATCATTACTTGATTGTTATACCAATATATCAACATATCAATGATGTCATGATTGATAGTTACAAAAAATCATTACTTGATTGTTATACCAACATATCAATGATGTCATGATTGATAGTTACAAAAAATCATTACTTGATTGTTATACCAATATATCAACATATCAATGATGTCATGATTGATAGTTACAAAAAATCATTACTTGATTGTTATACCAACATATCAATGATGTCATGATTGATAGTTACAAAAAATCATTACTTGATTGTTATACCAATATATCAACATATCAATGATGTCATGATTGATAGTTACAAAAAATCATTACTTGATTTTTATACCAATATATCAACATATCAATGATGTCATGATTGATAGTTACAAAAAATCATTACTTGATTGTTATACCAATATATCAACATATCAATGATGTCATGATTGATAGTTACAAAAAATCATTACTTGATTGTTATACCAATATATCAACATATCAATGATGTCATGATTGATAGTTACAAAAAATCATTACTTGATTGTTATACCAATATATCAACATATCAATGATGTCATGATTGATAGTTACAAAAAATCATTACTTGATTGTTATACCAACATATCAATGATGTCATGATTGATAGTTACAAAAAATCATTACTTGATTGTTATACCAATATATCAACATATCAATGATGTCATGACTGATAGTTACAAAAAACCATTGTGTACTCTCTGTATGGATATGACAATTAAAGTGACACTTCCACATTCCTAGACACTATATTTTTTGTTTTGAGACATACCAATTACCACATGTGTTGAATTAAATTCAAAACACCTCTTCCAGCTTGCATATATATGTATATATTCAAGCTGGAAGAGGTGTTCTTGATTTAAATCAACACACATATATATATATATACATACCCAATTACCAAATATATGAAAATATTGATACATTCAAAACCAAATCATATTCATGTGCGGAAGTGAAAATGAAATGTCCACTTTTCAATCATGGATCATTACTTATACTTATATAGATCTAATGTCATTATGCTGGACCAGCTATAGCGAGCATTAAAATGATATTAGTCAGTAATATATGACCCCCAACAAATGTGAGCTAGAGTGTCACAATAAGGGGGTTAAAAACCTCCACAACCTACCCAGAATCACTAAGGAGACACCCATCTGGTGCCTGCTGTACCATCTGAGTGGCAATGCTGCAGTTGCTCCAAATATGCGAGTCGTGGGTCGACCCCGGCCACTTGACTACCACATTTGTGAAGCTGTAGACAAGAAAACAAGGGATTATAACTACTCATTTACTTACATCTTGATCTCGTATGTTCATTTACATGTCTAGGTGTCAAGGCAGATGCTAGTGACCCTTCACTATTTAGGTGTGTAATATTCAATAAATATTTGCCATTACGTTTGTAGTTCTAATCTGAGATAAACAATGTAAGTGTTTTAATGCGTCAACAAGCTTTTTAACATAAAGTAGCATTCCGGAAATATAAGAGAATAAACATGATAACGTTTCTTTTAAGTCAGTGAAATTGATAGACTATTTTTAACTGGACAGGGAACTAGCATCAATATGTCAGGTCAAGGTCGTTACTAATGTAAACAAACCCGTTACGTATTGGGATATTTTTACCTTTCGGTCTTACTACAGGAAAATACTGAAATCATTATGCCTTTCCAGTGTTTGTTTATTAAAAAAGCGAAGAAAAGATCTTACCGAAGAGAGCTGTCACAAATAGCCTGAACATTCACGGCGTGGTAGCCCTTCCGGCAAACAAACGCTGCTTCCTCGGCGATGGGTGGTCTTTTTATTGGGATCAAAGTCCCGTCAACCGCTCCAAGAACTTTGGGGAACCCGGATAGTTTGTAGAAGCCCTCTTTAACTGCTATCTGTTCTTGTGGTCCCCATGGAAAATGAATATTATCTAGCACCGTGCAAAAAGCACTGGCTGTGCTGTGCAGGGATCTCGAAACGGTTGACTTGTCAAGGCCGTGAAGGTCCCCGATCTCGGACACCTTTGCCGAGATAGCGTAAAGTCAAGAGCACCTGTGACTCTACAGAAATGGCGTGTGAACGCTGTGTACTCCTTCCGATTGTGAACGCTGTGTACTCCTTCCGATTATTGGCTCAACTTCTTCTACAAGAGCTATAATAGCTTCACGTGACAAACGGTAGCGAGAAGTCAGTTCGAAATCATTCAGCGTGTCCAGTTGACTCGTCCTGTCTCTGTAGACTCTCTGCTTCCTCAAACTTCTCTCAATCTCCTTGTATAAAATAAAAGCAGTCGCCATATTCCCTACCCAACCTTAGAGACGCTAAGGTTGGGTCGGGCCAACCTTAGTTATCAACCTTAACTTAAGGTTAACCTTAGTTAAGGTTGTTTCGTGCAACGGGAGGCTAACCTTAGTAAAGGTCTAAGGTTTTAATCTTAGAGATAACGTTGACCTTAGAGATAAGGTTGTTTTGAACAACGGAGCCCTGACTTTCATGAGATATTTTTCTGAATTCACAACAAAAACACAGTAAGAATATTTGTTCATGAGAGGTTGAGTTTCATGGTTCATGGTTGAGTTTACACGGTTTCACAAACATCTTAACTGCCTCACCTGCAATTTTGCAAGTCCACCTGTTGTCAACCAAGCAGTTTGTGGATTTCAATCGACCATGAGATACTATTTCTGATCGGTGTAGGAAATCCATTCCTCTGCAGATGTCTTTCAGTATCGAGCAGCGGAAATCCCAGCCCAGTTTAACAGATTCATTGGACAATAAGTCTTCTAAACTACCCTGAAAACAAGAGAAAAACACAACTAATTTCTCAAACATCTCCAAAGTAATGCAAAGTCATCTACGGCACAGGTGAACAAATTGTTATCTCATTGACCATGAGCCAGCACAAAGCCCCTTTTGTCTGAATCAGAAGGACACACAGTCAGCTGATCAAGTCACATCAACTACTCCGACATCTAGTATTCTGAACTAAGTGTCCTTGGCAGACAAATTGAGAAAAATTGTTACATTGTTCAGAATCAGTACTTATGTAAAGTTCTTATTTCCTTAAATTCTGAGGTATTTTAACATAGTATTTTGAGTTCACATTCCATATTCTAGCACGACATGGGGTGATACTCAATTCTGATTGGCTGAGAGTTCATCAAAACCGTACTTGAATGGCAGTTTAAGACCGCTAATGAAAGTGACCGATTCACCGCATATGAATACAACGAACTTGTTGACCCTATTGTTTGTAAACAAACATGTCGGACATCGGCAATTTCTACCTCGGCAGCATTTTTGGTGTTTTTGAAGTAAAAAGCAAATGGTTTGAAGAAGAATTTCTTAACCCTAATCCCAGTGAAGAAACTACGATTCGTACGAAGCTGGAAAATCCGTCAGCAGCGCAAAAGCGGCAGTATATTCAAACCGGGTCTAGATCTAGCGGGCATGATGTCGACAACACGCGTCGGCCCACACGTTCTAACCTGACCGCTTCCGTCCCAGCCGTAATGCCCAGTCCTTCCACTTCCACTGTCCATGTATCCCACATAAAACGTGGCATGTCAGGTCTTTTCCAAATTGGGAATAGTAGGGTGGTTATGAACAATATTTCAGAGCATATTCCAAAGGAAGAGCTCACTGAAGATGCATGTTTGCGGCAGCTATTTTTATTAGCAAACGTGAAACACTTCTCAGTTGATTACAACTCATTTGTACTACTTGACTGACAAACTAATATTTGGGGCGGGGAGAGGTATCAATCAAGTACTTTAGCAAGTGTATTGTCTTGTATCATTGTACAGCTAAAAATGTATTGTGTATCCGTTCTTTGAATGAAATCTTGTGATGCGTGACAGAATATCATTTATATTGGCACCATCCATAGTGTAGGATTCACTATCCATCTGCAATCTGTCATGTCTTTCCTCATCTAGTTAACTCTCAATATATGCATGGATCATTGGTGACCACACCATCCCTTTGCCTCTTGGAGCGCTCCATTAATCACACGGTCAACAAATCTATACTGATAGTCAATGCCATGATTGTTTATATTAGTATGCAAATGAGAAGACTAACATCTAGTCACTGAGATGAACATATTTTACAGAAACAAAACTGTTCATAAAAAATAATGCAATAAAAAATAAAGAACAGGAGCCCAGAGACTTTCTTCATTTTCAGAAACTGTTCAAATATAGACTAATGTCATATATTCTAGATTTGCATAGGCTTTCTTGGATATATTTGTTTCAGGGTCTGTATGAAAGACTGGCAAATGAACTATGACATCATAAAATAAGTCAAATTACAGTTTACTGCACTGGCCGTATAACCTTCAGGATGTTTTTTGATAATTCTATTCATTTTAGCTATGATACTTAAAAAAGCAATTTACATGTTAACACCACAATTTGCTGAAATTGCTTTGCTACTATTCCAACTTTGATTTTCTCATAAAAAGTTGTAAAATTCTTCAGCTCTTATAATTAGACTTTAACTCTTTCAACACCAGTCAACCAGAGGCATTTACTGCCATGACACCGAGTTCCCACAGAGGAAGCCTATGTTTATGAAGGAAAATGTAATTTTTAGAGTAAAATTGATATTTTATACTTATCCTGACTCATGCTCTTTTGCTTGTCTTCTTCTTCTTGCGAACATAGTGGAAACACTTGTATCTCCTTAATTGAAGCTCCCTTCAATGTAAAATCACTAATTGGTACTCACCACGAGTTGCTCCCCTTTAATCCCTTCTGGCGGGAAAGGTGTCGCCACCTTACACCTCGTGCTTCACTCTCTCCTGATTTTGCGAGCCCAACACTTGAATTTACAGGGAAATCCAAAGTGTTATGTGTTCTGACCTCATGAGTCAGGATAAGTATAAAATATCAATTTTACTCTAAAAATTACATATTTTTCCTTATCCTGACTCATGCTCTTTTGCTTGTAGAATCCTACGGAACGGAGGAGGGAGTAATAGAATACTTTGGATTTATAATTAGTGATTTTGTATAAATATAACTGTAATAACTGGTATGGGAACTTCATGAAGGCATTGACTTAGGATATTTCCTGTATATAAACCATAAGTTATATAATGCCATAATAGGGTATTACCTTGATATATATTGAAAAACCATTACATATATTATATATATATATAAGTGACTCTGATAGAGTCGCTGTACAACTAAAGATAATGTCAATATATACTTAGGGGTGAATAACCTAAGCTAAATATATACATAGCTCTAGAACTCCTTAGAGTTATAAGCTAGCTAAATTATGTATATAATACATATTAAACTTGTGATGGTAATATTTTAACGCCTACGAGGGACTGTCAGCTGTTGAGCGAGGACCAAAGGGCCGAAATGGTGAATGCCAGAGACATCTTCTGTGGTGATGTCTCTCAGGTAGTGATTCGCAAACACCATGTTCGATTTCCAAAAGCATCCTTCCATACTTGTGTTCAATGAACAGTTACCGTGCAGGGCGAGGGTGGAAGCCAGTGCCCTAATCTCATGCGGATTTGATGCTGTTGGTGGGTCCAAGCCTGCTGCCTTGTAGGCGCGAAGTATGACAGTCCTTATCCAAATAGATATGGTAGTACGCGAGACTTCTGTTTGACTCGTTGGCGATAAGGGGATGAATAATCTTTTGAGAAATCTTCGCCTTGTTTTGGATCGTCGTAAGTAAACTTTGAGAGCTCTGACTGGACACAGTGATAAGTCTTGTGTCTTGTGTATCTTGTGATCCGAGAATCGAGGATAACGCTGGTACATGGAATAACCTGTCTGGTTGACCTGGTAGTTGATTTTTTGCGATGAAATCCCATCTTAATCCCAGGTGCGCTATGTTTTAATTGTCATCAAACTGTATCCTCTCGTAATCCAGAGCGTGAATTTCAGATATTCTTGCTGCCATGGCTAGAGATAGCAGAAATAGTGTTTTCTGTGAGAGAAATTCAAAGTTTGTCGATTCCAAAGGTTCATAGGCCTCACTTGTGAGGTGTTGTAACACTATATTCAGATCCCAAGCTGGGGCGTGGAACTTCCGCTTTTGGTCCTCCAATCGGAAAGCACGTAGTAAGGCCAGTAACTCTGGAGATTTTGTCAGCTTGACACCCGTTCTCATAGTGATCACAGAGCTAAGCGCGGCAAGATATGTTGATATCGTCGAACCTCTTAAATGTTTGTTTTGCCGCAGGTAACACAAATAGTCTGCCACTTGAGGATGTGAAGCATCTCTCGCTGTAAATCCTTTATTAGCTGCATAATTTTCGAAACTGTGCCACTTGTCGCCGCATACAAGTTCACGAGTCGAGTCGAGTGTCGTAAGGCAAGCGTGACCGCTTTTGCCGCCCTGGCAGAATATCCTCTCTTGTTTAAACACATTTGTATACAGTCCATACGTGAAGTTGGTAAACTTCTGGGTTTCCGTGCACTTGTTTTGTGTGTGGATGTATTAACAGGTTTGAGCTCTTGGGTAGCTCTAATACTGGTTGACCGATTTCTTGAATTAGCATGGGAAACCATACTCTGGCTGGCCAGTAGGGCGCGACCAAAGTGAGTTGTAGATTCTGTGTTTGTTTGATTTTCTGTAATACTTGAGGTATTATTGCTGGCGGCGGAAACGCGTACGCGTTGAGGCCTTCCCATGATATACTTAGAGCGTCCGTTTCCCAAGCTTGTGGATCTGGGATTGGTGACACGAATGTCGGTAGCTGATTGTTGAATCTTGTGGCGAATAGATCTATTAGCGGCGCTGCTAACGGCTTGATTATCTGTGCAAATATTTCCGTATTGAGCATCCACTCTGTCGGTGATGGTAGATGAGGCCGAGAGAGCGCGTCTGCTAGTACATTTCTGGCTCCGGGAATGTGAACTGCTCTGATCTGTAGATTTAGATCGTTGGTTAGATCGAATAGTTTAAAGCTTAAGTTCAAAAGGTTCAGTGATCTCGTTGAGCCTTGCTTGTTTACGTAGAACGCCACTGTGGAATTGTCGGTATGAATCATAAGGTGCGCATTTTGTAGAAATGTGCTCCAATGTAGAATGGCGTTGATTACAGCTTTCATCTCTAGGATGTTTATATGGAGTTTGCTTTCTTGTTGGTTCCATAATCCCGATGTCGTCTGGTTGGCGAGATGAGCTCCCCAACCTTGAAGTGACGCGTCCACATATAGATGGGTTTTGAATTCCTGCTCTGCTAAACAAATCCCTTCGCAGACATTCGATTTCTTTGTCCACCATAGTAGATGAGGTCTGAGATGTTTCGGTAGACTGAATGGCTGTAAATCGTCGAGATGTGCATTGATGAAGACCTGTAAGGGACGTAACTGTAACCTGCCTCTGACTGTCATGTCTTGGGCTGATGTGAGGAGACCTAGGAGGCTCTGCCATTGTCGAAGTGGTAACGGAGAGAGTAGAGCTGGTGGAATGGTCTGTTGGATCTTGATCCAACGGTCTTCTGGTACGACGATACGGTTGAGATTTGTGATAAATCGAATGCCTAGGAACTGTAGGTCTTGTGACGGTACTAGGTCCGACTTGAGTAAGTTTACTAACCATCCTAGCTGTGTTAGTAGCTTTATGATGTAGTTTAACTGTAGTTTGAGATGCTGTGGATCTTGATCTACTTGTATCCCGTCGTCAAGGTAAAACGCACTGCGTAGCCCTTGATGATGAAGATAGGTGATAATCGGTTTCGTTATCCTCGTGAAAAGCCAGGGGGCTGATGATATTCCGAATGGGAGCACTTTCCACTGGTCATGTTGCCCGTCT